TTTGATAATAATAATAATAATAATAATAATAATAATAATAATAATACGTATTCGCATGCAACGACGCAAATCCACACAATTCAGTAGACACTTTTTCTATCAAACGTTTTCTTTCCCTTCTCTTCAGGATAGTACAGGGAATGTTGGAAATTAGAAAAACACATAACTATATAGAGAATGAAAGAAAGAAAAAGTCAACACTTCAACATAGGTGTTAAAAATGATTAAAGTGTTACAAACTCAAAAACAAACAGCTGCAAGTTGTAGACAAACACGTTGAACACATCAGGGAAAAGTTGTCACACTTTCACGAGGTGTGACACCAAACAACTGCAACGATAACACATTCTCCTTCTGTACACATAGTTCTGGATCTAGTTTACGAATATACAGAGCTTCTAACACAGCAAGATGTAACTTAGACCTTCCACGAGTCAAAATCGAAAAGATATCATCACTATACAACTTACGACAACTAGCACTGCCCGACAAATGACGCTTGATGGACGATGTCCGATCACTTAGCTCTGTCACCTTCGACGCCTGCCGTTGTTCTCTTCCGTTAGGCTTGTTTGGTTGGTTGCTCCGGTCCACACCTCCAACGTCCGTTGATTTCATGGCCGTTTTCGTGTCACTTCTTGGTCTTCCTCGTTTCCTCTTGTTGATCGTTGTTGTCACTTCCATTATCGACGTATTCAGATCCCCAGTACTCCGTCTGTTCACCTTGCTTCTGGTAACTCTTCCGGTGTCTATGAGCTCCAGTGTCACATTGGGTGGTTTTCGAGACGGTCTCCCTCGCTTCCTCACGCTTGTCTGAGATGGGCCAAGCTCCCCGCCCGTCGAGGCGGAGGCGCGCATGCGTACATCTACACTGGACGCAGACAAAGGCGTTCCAGTATCGGACTGCACAGCACATTTTGGAGGACGGCCACGACGAGGACGAGTACCACGAGCGTCAACTACTCGTCACTACTAACAAAACTTATTAATAACAAACCAATCACACAGGATCCGAAACCATTTGGACCGGACAGGTGCCCCGTGGTACTACGCTTACCCTGGGTGGGTGCTGGTTCTGCGCGCGTCGAGAAGGAGGTGCGCAACATTGTCTGTTCGTCTTACCCGTGCGTGAAATTGTATTTAGTATTTGGAACGACGCGTGCGTTCAGTGTGAAGAAGGACGTTCTACCTACCCTTAGTAGAAGCAACCTTATCTATTTTTTTCAGTGCCGAGAATGTGAAGATCGGTACGTAGGTAGAACCCTTCAACACCTGGGAGCACGCATCCGTCAACATGTGCCGTTAGGTCTTGTCCCTGTTGACGCTCGTGGTACTCGTCCTCTTCGTGGCCGTCCTCCAAAATGTGCTGTGCAGTCCGATACTGGAACGCCTTTGTCTGCGTCCAGTGTAGATGTACGCATGCGCGCCTCCGCCTCGACGGGCGGGGAGCTTGGCCCATCTCAGACAAGCGTGAGGAAGCGAGGGAGACCGTCTCGAAAACCACCCAATGTGACACTGGAGCTCATAGACACCGGAAGAGTTACCAGAAGCAAGGTGAACAGACGGAGTACTGGGGATCTGAATACGTCGATAATGGAAGTGACAACAACGATCAACAAGAGGAAACGAGGAAGACCAAGAAGTGACACGAAAACGGCCATGAAATCAACAAAAACGGACATGAAATCAACGGACGTTGGAGGTGTGGACCGGAGCAACCAACCAAACAAGCCTAACGGAAGAGAACAACGGCAGGCGTCGAAGGTGACAGAGCTAAGTGATCGGACATCGTCCATCAAGCGTCATTTGTCAGGCAGTGCTAGTTGTCGTAAGTTGTATAGTGATGATATCTTTTCGATTTTGACTCGTGGAAGGTCTAAGTTACATCTTGCTGTGTTAGAAGCTCTGTATATTCGTAAACTAGATCCAGAACTATGTGTACAGAAGGAGAATGTGTTATCGTTGCAGTTGTTTGGTGTCACACCTCGTGAAAGTGTGACAAGTGTTCCCTGATGTGTTCAACGTGTTTGTCTACAACTTGCAGCTGTTTGTTTTTGAGTTTGTAACACTTTAATCATTTTTAACACCTATGTTGAAGTGTTGACTTTTTCTTTCTTTCATTCTCTATATAGTTATGTGTTTTTCTAATTTCCAACATTCCCTGTACTATCCTGAAGAGAAGGGAAAGAAAACGTTTGATAGAAAAAGTGTCTACTGAATTGTGTGGATTTGCGTCGTTGCATGCGAATACGTATTACGAAACTGTTTTTCCCACCGCCTCCAAACTACTGTTTGAATAATAATAATAATAATAATAATAATTAAAATGCTTCCGTGGAGATAAAAATGTAATCAACGCAATAAATAGAGTAAGCTGCGCACTCAGTACAAACACCATAAGCAAAACTTGTTTTTATGTAAATAAAGAAGCTTGTTTCTAAACGTTTTCGTCGCCATCTCATCAGAGGATTACTGGCAAATCAACAAAAGCTCTTAACTCAATATATATACGCACAATGCAAGTAATAATTTAGACCCTAACTAGCGTAAGTCTTCTTTGACTTCCTTGGTACCGTCATCCGGTGTGTCCACCTCCGGTGGCAAAAAGCGTGGCCGGCCACCGAAGAAACCACCGGATGGTGTGTCTACGGGACCAGTGACTCGCTCTAGGGCGAGGTTAGCAGAGTCTTTATCGTCTCCGTCGTTGTCATCATCGTCGTCGTCAGCGTCTTCCTCATCTCCCTCCTCCTCTTCATCAACATCAACAGCCATTGGAACGTCAAAGGGAGCATCATCGCAGCAGGCGGTGCCAGTAACGGACGTGCCTTTGGTACTGACATCTACATCGGCCTCGTCTGGATTGGCAGTAGCGGCAAGGAATGTCAGGTCGGTTACATTGTCACGTAATTCCAAAGTATGTACTGGTTCTAGTAGCGTTGTTAGGGTGTATGAATCTTCTATCGCCAACCATCTTGTTCAGAATAGTGATTGTCGTTCTAGTTATGCTGATGATTGCTTTTCTGTTTGGTCTCGTTCACGTAGTCAAAGGTATTTGCGTGTATTGGAGTCTATTTACATTTTTACCACTAAGCCGGTTTTGTGTAGGCAGAAAAAGAATTTGTTTACGTTGAAATTGTTTGTGAATTTAGATCAGTAGTTCTCGTTTGTGGTTGCATGGTAACTTTCTAGTGGTGAATTTATCGCATCTGTTGTCACCTGATATCGTTGAATGGTGTAATGTTCTTTCAGCTCTCATTTTATCGCGCTAGTTAGGGTCTAAATTATTACTTGCATTGTGCGTATATATATTGAGTTAAGAGCTTTTGTTGATTTGCCAGTAATCCTCTGATGAGATGGCGACGAAAACGTTTAGGAACAAGCTTCTTTATTTACATGAAAACAAGTTTTGCTTATGGTGTTTGTACTGAGTGCGCAGCTTACTCTATTTATTGCGTTGAATAATAATAATAATAATAATAATAATAATAATAATAATAATAATAATAATAATAATAATAATAATAATAATAATAATAATAATAATAATAATAATAATAATAATAATAATAATAATAATAATAATAATAATAGAACACGTTGAACACATCAGGAAATACGTGTCACACTTTCGCGAGGTGTGACACCAAAAGCCGGCAACGATAACACATTATCTTTCCGTACACATTGTGCTGGATCTAATTGACGAATATACAGGTTGTCCAGAGTACCTTGGACTATGCCAGCACATGTTATGTTCACTGCTTGTCTGCTAAACTCAGAGACAAACTTGAGTCAACCAGCAATAGGTGCCTAAAGCGAGTGTTTGGCCATGATCAGTATACTTCTATCGATTTCATTCTCACCAAATATAACCTGTATACTTTCTCTCGCCGTGTAAACTTGAAACTGTTTGTGTTTGTTTTTAGGTGTCTATCTCGTTGCACCAGTCCTCTTTTAAGCACGATATTTACCCCCGCTCTGCATCATGCCGCACAAATGCTGCTACCCGCGGTCAAGCTTCAGCTGCTCTGAACCTACCCAGAGCTATGTCTCGTTACGGCCTGAATGCTATTTCATTTTTGGCAGCAGACAGATGGAACATGCTTCCACCTGGATGTCGTCAAGCTAAGCCACTTTCTGCATTTGTCACAAGCACCAAGTCATTCCTAGGGTTCCCAGTAAAAAGGCAACGCCTGTGGGAGTTCCCTAGTAAAATAATAAATTCTACTACTACTACTACTACAGGGCTTCTAACACAGCAAGATGCAACTTAGACCTTCCACGAGTTAGAATCGAAAGGATATCATCACTATACAACTTACGACAATTAGCACTATCCGACAAATGACGCTGGATGGACGATGTCCGATCACCCAGCTCCGTTACCCTTTTCTTATACCGTAACAATTATTGTCTAATTTGAAGGAAAGGGCTTTCAAATCCTAAAATATTGTTCCATTATTCTCGCGGTATGAGTTCGCTCACTTTCCTTTCATCGATATTAGATTTTTGTCTCCACGCCGACATTAATTTTCTATAATAATGGAGAAAAGGAGGACAACATGTTACGAGTTATGACTAACTGCCCAGCAACGTAACCAAATCTTACACTGAGTCAACGAATTGGCTCACCATCCGAATTTTCTATAATAGTTCGCTTTTTGTTCCAATGTCCGTAAGAATAACGGGATTGCTGATGGGTGTTGCAAGAAAACTTGTTCATAACGTTATTGTTTCCTTGCGTATTTCGTCTTGCATCAAGATGTATCGAGTTGTTTCGCAATGTTTTTCAAGCCATTTCATCGAGCTGAAAAAAACCTCCTCATAGGCTAAAGATGTGTTCTGAAGTTTTTCACATCGCTGAAGCGGCTGTAAAAGTATTGTAAAACCTATCACTTTCGCTAGTCTGTACCACTCTTTACGTTTTCATCGACTGTTTGAACTAACTGAGCTCCATGTACATGTGTGTGTGTGTTTGATTTCGTATATTCCAATGCCAGTGAGGTATCCAGTAACAACATAGCTCGTCTTCGACCCATGGGTAATTATACCGGCCTAAAAAGGTTGTAAGTATCAAATAATATCTCTCTCGCTTGCATTAGCAGACCCCAAAAAGGCAAACATTAAACTCATTTTTTGAACATGCAGACGTGCTTTGAGGTAGTGGTAGCGCAAACTACTTTAGGAATGAAAACCCTTTACAGACGAAGTGCTGTTTCCTCTGTTCTAAGTTGTTCTCTAGGTTGCATGCACTACGGAAATGATATTCGTATTGGGGATAATAAGTATGATTATGTCATCGCATAGTTTCGAGGGCCTTATGGCATATTATTGCCCTCGAGGATCTGAAAACGCACGATGCTGAGTTGAATTAGGGGTGGTCCAGATGCTCCGCTTGCAGGAGAAGATTGTTCTCCCACCACACCACGAGATGACCGTGGCGGCTGTGGTCGACACTCTTGCATTCGATGGGATGCCAGAGTTGGGGCTCACGGAACCAGATTGTGGGACTGCGAGCGACCCTGGTCTCTTGGTGGCAAAGTGTGTTGTGCGGCCACAAGAGAATCGTGTTCCCGTGCGATTGATGAATTGCACGGCGGAACAAGTCACTCTGCCCAAGAGAGCGCAGATTGGCAAGCTGTGTGCAGTTGCAACTGTGGTGGACGATAGTGAAGAGTTGGACGAGGCGAATGACTGGTGTAGCTGCGGAGCTAACCAGGATTTGTGGTCTGTACTGCGAGTGGGGAACCCCGATGGTGGTCCCCGCGCAGGGAAGCGCTCTTCAGGCGAGAAGAGGCTGCTTGAAACCGGTGGTGGTAATGACGATGGTCGGTCACAGCATTGCGCGATGAGGGATGATGAGGCAGTACACGACGCCGACGTTGACCAGCGTGGTCGTGATACGATGCCTGATGGCTGTCGCTGTCAGGAGGGTAACTGAGAGACATGCTCCCCACCTGATATAGGCGACAGCGAGCAGCCTGTGGTTGAGGCCGAGCAGTTGGCTAGGCTCAGAACCTTGGTCGAGCAGTACAGATGTGTATTCTCTATGAACATGTCCGAGCTGGGTCGGACAGACGTGTTGAAACACGAGATTAGGACTAACGGTGATGGTCCAGTTTATGAGCCTGCTGTGCAATTTGAGTTCAATGTGATGCCATTTGGTGTGTGCAATGGCCCGAGCTCATTTCAACGGCTGAGGTGTGCCGTTTTGCGAGGTTTGCAGTGGCAGATGTGCCTGGTATACCTCGATGACATTATCGTGTTCTCCAAGACGTTTGACGAACACTTCGAACGACTGGAAGCAGTGTTCCAAAGACTACTGGAGGCTGGTTTTCGGTTGAAACCCTCGAAATGCCATCTGTTGAGGGCAGAAGTCAATTTTTTTGGGTCATGTTGTCCCGAAGGATGGTGTGCGCACCGATCCGGGTAAGATTGAGACCGTGTCAGAGTGGCGGTGCCCAAAGAACGTGGGGGAGGTGCGTTCTTTTATGGGTTTCTGTGGTTACTATCGACGGTTTGTGAAGAATTTTACATCGATTTCTCGCTGGAGAAGCTGACGAGGCAAAATCAGAGGTTTTCATGGGATGGCGAGTGTGAGATCGCATTTCAATTGCTGAAGCAGAAGATGTCTTCAGCACCCACTTTGGCGTATCCGAGGTTTGAGACCGATGCGCCCTCATTTGTGGTCGAGGTGGACGCAAGATGTGGACGTAAGTGGTCATGGTTCGGGAGCTGTTTTGTCCCAGACCAGGTCAGATGGTCGAGAGCGACCTATTGCGTATGCAAGCAGAGGGTTAAACTCTGCCGAGAGGAATTATGCCTTGACGAAGAGTAAACTCCTCGGACTAGTGTCGGTATTTAGGCATTTCAGATGCTATTTGCTGGGTCGAAGGTTTGTCGTGCGCACAGACCATCAGGCACTAAAATACTTGAACCGTTTCAAAGAACCAAGTGCGATCGTGGCGTGGTGGCTTGAGTTTCTGAGTGATTTCGATTACGAGGTGCGTTATCGGAAAGGTAAAGTCCATGTCAATGCTGATGGCTTGTCTCGATAAGTGCAGGATCAGAGGTGTGGCACCACAGTCCCTGATGAGGTGATCGCTGTGGTATCAGGCGAAAGGAGCTCAGTGGAGAATGCTGAGTCGGTCCAGAGTGATCTTCCTCCTCCCTTTGTGCGGCGCCGAAACTGGACATCAGCTGAGTGGGCTGATGCTCAGCAACGTGATCATGAATTGACACGACTGAGTGAGTGGCTCTGCTTCGGGTCATCTTTGCCTGACTTGATTGGTGTGAGTCCGGCTCTGAGGCATTATTTCCGAGATGTCTTGTGGTGCGAGAGGACGTGATAGGTCACGTTTTGCACAGAGAGAACGCAGGAGGGGGCACAAAGTTTCACATTTTGGTGCCAGTTGCGTTACGCAGTCAGGTGCTGAGTGCGTACAATGATCATCTAGGTCACTTAGGCGTGACTAGGACGTATCACCGGATTCAGTCCAAGCTCTTCTGGTATGGCATGAAGAGAGATGTGGAAGACTGGATTGGTAGTTGTGCGTCGTGCAGTCGACGATCGAGACCTGTGGGACGTGGAGTGGCGCACCACTAGAGGTCACGTGGTCGGGTTATCCGTTTCAGAGAGTTGGAATGGATTTGATTTCCGGATTGCCAGAGACCGTGGAATTTAGGATATGAAGAGAACAATTCGATATATATTTTGTGAGTATTACGTAGGCTGTGATGGACCACTGAGGAAATTGTGATTAATACTTGAAGTATGACTGTGACGATCAAATGATAGCGAATAATGGAATACCTTCCAACTAGTTTTTTGCTTACCTCTCAGCCGAAAAAACAAAACAGAAAAACAGGTCCGACAGCATTCGTCTTAGGACGATCGCCTCCCTTGCACAATGCTCTTTATATGTATCGTCCTCTCTGTCTGAACTCCAAAACTCTACCTTCAAGTCTTCATTTTGGTCATTTCTTATCCACGGATGCAATTTTCTACAGGCACCTAGGGAGGAACAAGATTTCTGAAATCCCTGACGATTTTCTGGCGAAGAACATCTTGCTCGAAGAACTGTAAGTTTGTTATTATGTAGGTAAAGCTTTATGACCAACGCATATGGCCGATTGGTTTGCAGGCCTGCCTGCGAATCATGAGGTCCCGAGTTCAAGACCCGCGCTGGTAGCAGGGAGCGTGTAAAAGACTTTTTACGCGTGTTGAACTGCGCCGACACCCACGGTCAACTGGGTACTCACAGCTCGGAGTGAGAATAACAGGATGCAGTTTACAGGGTTATGGGCCGTTACACGCCCGATTGGTTGAGAGACTAACCTCCTCTCCCCTGACTCACTTGTGAGGTCTGCATTCGCCACTAAGGTTAACAGGCATAGTGGTGGCCTGCGGATGCGAAGGCTAGTTTGGGTGTTTCCGAATATTCAAGCGATGCCGACGCGGATCCCGCGAATATTTTAAAGCTTTGTCGCTCTGCTCAACTTCATTAGCTGGGCAAATCAATCAATTCTGTTTTCATTTGTCGTCGCCAATCTCGGGATATATGATATGAGCCTAGGGGATGTTATTTCATTTTGACTTCATCAAGCGAGGAAGAGGTTGGTGCGACTTCGGCGATACTTTGGGAGTTGTGTGTTGCTTCCTACACGAGAGCTCACGATTTTCCTGCCGACTTGAATTCTCACTTGGCTGACTCATGACTGCCATCCAGAGGACACGAGAATTCCATCGAAACATCCACTCGGAAAACCTGCAAAAAAGCACCACTCCCTGGTCAATACACAGTGTTGCAGGGAATTCACCCCTCACCAGTTGAGACAGCAAAATCAACTTCGCTCTCTCTCTCTCTCTCAGAATCTTTCTCCGTTTATTTCGCTCTTTTTACATCTTTCCCTCTCTCTCCTATCGCTATCTATCTCCCTCCCCCTTTCTCTCTTTCTCCTTCTCTTCTTTCCCCTGTTCTCTCTCACTTCTCTCTCTCTTTTCTCTTTCTATCTCTCTCTACCTCTGTCTCTCTTTCTGTCTCTCTCTACCTCTCTCTGTCTGTCTCTGTCTCACTCTGTCTCTCTCTCGCTGTCTCTCTCTGTCTCTGCATCTGTCTCTCTTTGTCTACATCATAGGTGAATTCCCCGAAACACTGTGTATTGAGCAGGCAGTGGTGATTTATTGGAGGTTTGCCGAGTGGCCGGTTCGATGGACTTCTCGTTTGCTCTGAGAGGCAGTCGTGAGTCAGTCAAGTGAGAATTCCAGTCTGCAGGAACAGAGCGAGCTCTCATATGGGGAGCAACAAGCAGTTCATGAAGCGAACAGGCCATGCTGCTTTCCTATTAGCCACAGAACCATGAAAATTTCCAAAGAATCAAAAAGGCAGCTTTATAGTTGGGATGTATGTAAATAAAACGTACGTCTTCACACAGCTTCAAATCCGGATAACGAATTCCCTTGTGTGGTCTGTGCTAAACGTTCCGTATGGCACATGAAATGCGAATCTAGGTAACCGAAATGTGGTGTTATTGATGCTCTCCAGGAGTATCTGTGATGGAGAATCGTGCGAAAGAGAGTATCTCGGTGTAGCTAGGAGTGCGCGATAGCTGCTAGCCAGGGTTACGAAGCGCAAGATAACACTATTTCGTGCATACGTGCAACCTATCTGGCTGCGAGCTTGTCCGTAGCGAAATGCTCGGTGTAGTGGAGGAAAGAAAAAGCATGCTCGTCCAATGTAAGTTTGTATCGCAGGTGATACTATGACCTACAGAGCACTATAATTATTATTAGTAATGCCCTTCATGAACTAACCGTACCATCTTCCTCAGTCTATTCAAGCGCAGCCGAGGCTTGAATTCCCCGAACCACTGCGGCCAGGGAGTGGTGCTTTATTTCAGGTGTGCTCTGTGGAAGGTATGATAAACTCCTCATGTGCTCCGGATGGCATGTGCAAGTCAAGTCTCTGGGAAAGTGAGAGCTCCAGAAGGGGGGGGGGGGGGGACGAACTTTACAAGTGCGTTTTTTTACTATGAACACAGCAATAATACCGTTTTCATTGGCAAGGCAGCTGATGATGCCGACGACGATGATGACGTCCATGATGAAGCAAGTGTATACGATAATGGGCCATCTCAAATGTATGGGAATGCACGCGAGTGATATCCCACTCCCATGGAAGTGAAATGGTCGTTAACTCAGCTCCCATAGCAACACCAATGCTTTTGAAATCAAATTGTGACGTTCTTGTGGTTATTCTTCTTGTGATGCAGGTTGTTCAATGACAACCCGAGTGCCCACATCAAACCGCCGCTTTTTAGAAATCTCTCTGCTCTTCGTAATCTGTAAGCACCCAAAAATTCGCTTGCCAAATTTGCCTCTCCCCGTTTGTATCAAGATATGGTATCACAGCGGTCTACTCTATTGTACTGGTGTGGTGGAGCACCTATTTCATACTGAGACGTGTTGTTTGGTAAATGTGTGCTGTCGACCACAAAGCGCAAGAGAGTGAAAGAGATAGATAGATAGATAGATAGATAGATAGATAGAGAGAGAGAGAGAGAGAGAGAGAGAGAGAGAGAGAGAGAGAGAGAGAGAGAACGAGAGAGAGAGAGAGAGAGAGAGAGAGAGAGAGAGAGAGAGAGAGAGAGAGAGAGAGAGAGAGAGAGAGAGAGAGAGAGAGAGAGAGAGAGGCAGAGAGGCAGAGACAGACAGAGGCAGAGGCAAAGAGACAAAGAGAGGCAGAGAGACAGAGAAAGAGATTGAGAGACACACAGACACACAGACAAACAGATAGTTCGAGAGAGAGAGAGATAGGGAGAAAGAGAGAGAGTGGGAGGGAGAAAGGTAGAGATAGGAGTGAGAAAGAGAAGGAGGGATAGTGAGATAGAAAGAGCTGGAGAACGATATAAATATACGGAGAAAGGTTGAGAGGGAGCGAAATTGGGTTTGCTAATACACAGTTCCTGAAAATCTATTGTGTTGTTCTGTGCAATATTTATCAACAGTTCTCTGGACAACATCAATGGTACAATCTTGAACTGGCATGCTTTGGATGATTTAACACATGTTCGCAAGCTGTAAGCCACAAATGGTATTAATTTGTTTATGATACTGGCTGCTGATAGTATGTTCTGTAGACATTGAATAAGATACTGCCTTAGAACAGCGTCCCCCTCACAGGCGAAATAATGGATATGATATTATGCAAATATATCAAAATATTTTAAAAGAACTTAGATGGTCAGCCAGTAACCAGTCATGGAGATGTCCTAGATAGGACATCATGGAACCCAGCATACATCTATGCTGTTCCCAAAGTAATAGTGACACGTGACTCAAAACTTTGCGTCGCGTCCGAGGAAGATGAACATGTCGCACTCAAAACAAACGCAACGAAGGCCTTTCGTCTTGAAAGTTGTCGTTCTCCTGGCGGCTTGCCTCAAGCGAGTCGAGATTCGTATCTTGCCTTCACGAATTTTATTTTATTTTCCTCGTTGTGGAGTACGCCTGGACAAAGGAACTGGCAAGCGAATCGTTTTGGTCGCATTGAAAATTGCAAGTGCACAAGAGGATTGGCGAAGCAATTTGTGTTCGCACTTTCAGCAGAGCAGTAGCTGCTGCTGCGATGAAGTTTTTACTTTCGCCATTGGTTTCAGCCAGCAGAAGGGTCTGGCTGAAAGCGATGGCGATACGTCCATGACCACCACACCCAATGTGGTACGTCCTAGGTCGATGTCCAAGAAAGACCGTCCAATGTCCAGTTTTAGCCAAGAGCTGTCGTATCCAAGAAATCGAAAACGCCAACAGCAAGCTTTGGCCAAATAATGTCTTCCAGGCAGTAATTTACGGGCCTAGCGCCTGCTGCCTCGTCTTCCTCCTCTGCATGGCCAGGCTTGGCCTCTCGGGCGAAATGAACGCACGGGGCGTGAAGAAACATTCCAAAGCTAAAAAAAGGCAAACATTCAAAATAGAACCAATCGTTTCCAAAGAAGCGCCGCGTGGCTACGAGAAACCCTACATGAAATCCCCAAACGAAAACGGCCATTCGGTCGGGTAATCGATGGTGAATCGAATATACACTACCTCAATCCCCGCCGATCTCTGATATTCTCCGCCTATTCCCTCAAACTTGACCAATTCGGAAAGAAATCCATTGCCATTACGGTCGTGGATCCTCCACATACATTCAGAAATGCTCACGCAGCACTTCTTTTCATGGGGTGTGCGCGACCGACGCTTTCATGACAACCCTGGGACAGGTGACCAATCAGAGTGCGATGTCCTACATAGGGCATCTCCCCGACTGGTAACAGGTGTTACATGTTCCAATTCAAATCAATGTTCCCTTTTCCCTTATCTCGACTAATGAGTACTAAATCAACCATTGAATGAACGACGCCAAGGCAACAATTTGTATAAAAAGAATATGCAAGAGGTACACAAAAGGAAGTACAAGTAAATAGGACTGTTTGTTGTTGTTACTCAAGCATTTCATGGCAAAAAACAATCATCAGCATTGGGTTTTGCCATGAAACTCTGAGTAACAACAACAAACAGTCCTATTTACTTCCTTTTGTGTACCTCTTGCGTACTATGTTCTGCCCATTCCGGGCATTTGAGCACTATCGCAGGTTACAGGGGAAGTAAGGCAAAAATCAAAATTTTACCAGTTGTAGTGTTCGGGTTGCTGAGTCGAATGGTCTTGGTCCGAGAAAGCTGAGACGCCCCCTTCCTACTTGAATCCCAACCGAACTCACGCACTTCTACCGAAACTGGGTGACTGCGCCCTACTAAATGGGGATTTGTATGCAAAATGTCACTAAAAGCGCCATTTCGTTCTTATAAAAGCACGGATGACCGCGATTGGCCCATATGTTGTACTCTTTTGGACGCTGAGTCGACTGGTTTTGGTCCGAAAAGGGTGCGATGCAGCGCTCCTCCTTTATTCCCTATCGAACATGGTTGAACAAGCGGTCACGTGCTCCTGGGTGCCCAAATCACCTGGTCACCACGCCAGCAGGCGACAACTTTCACACCAAGGTTCAACTCGAGTTCAACTCGAGTGACAGGACTGCACCCAAAAAAGGTCAAACAGGCTAGTAAGTTGTACCCTGCAGGCACGGTGACCAGGTGACTGGTGTACGCAGGAGCACGTGACCGCTTGTTCAACCATGTTCGATTGGGAATAAAGGAGGAACGCTGCATCGCAGCCTTTTCGGACCAAAACCAATCGACTCAGCGTCCAAAAGACTACAACATATGGTCCAATCGCGGTCATACATGCTTTTATAAGAACGAAATGGCGCTTTTAGTGACATTTTGCATACAAATCCCCATCTAGTAGGGCGCAGTCACCCAGTTTCGGTGGAAGTGCACGAGTTCGATTGGGATTAAAGTAGGAAGGGAGCGTCTCAGCTTCCTCGGACCACGACCATTCGACTCAGCACCCCGAAGACTACAACTGGTGACATTTTGATTTTTGCCTTAACTTCCCCTTTAAGGCACACTGCCTCTATGTATTATAAGAATAAAAAGAATAACCTCTGCGGTGCTGTCACTACCATGACTGTATCAATGTTGTATAACTTCAAATCGATGTTCTCTTTGTCTTGCCTTCACTTCAATCACGATTTTTCGCTAGTGAACGTAACCTGAAAATTGATTCTGGACAACCTTTGGCTTCGTTGATACATGGTGATGACGGAAGAGTCAATCATAGAGATTATATCACTGAACAACAAGGACAATCAAGGCTTGTTTGCTGCTACTTCAAGGTTCATGCTAGGGAGAGCATGACACTTGAAGTAGCAGCAAACAAGCCTTGATTGTCCTGTTGTTCTGTATTACGCTCTGCCTCCGCGGTGTTGAGCACTGTCAGCATACTGGGCGCATCCTCCGGTATAAATTATATTTTATTTAAATAACATTGAGACGAAGAAAAGGTTGGAAGGCTCTATGGCCTGTGCGTCATCCTTTGTCTCTCGTTAAAACTAACATTTGCAGCTCGCCTTGATGTTAGCTTGCTTTCGTCTACAGTCGCCTACCCTTTCCCCTTGCTCTTTCAAGAACATTCCCCGTTCGTAGGCTCCTGGTTCACGCATTCGAGACGTAATAGAGCTTTAAAACATCAGGTCGTGAATGTCCGTTCTGCATCAGTCAGTATTGTGCTAACTGGTACACATTCTGACTGCACAAAATATGTCTTCTAGCGACTAGTTTTGGACAAACTACGGTTAACGGGCACACCTTTGGTCCCTTCTTTAAAACTTTCATCCTTGGCTCTCTATCTGAGTCTACGAACACCAATGTCAATGACTTGCTGGTCGAAAGTGCAATCACCTAAGGCGTTGAATTTGTCTCAGTCACAAATTCAAACTATCCATTATCGCGAGATTACTGAGGAGAAGGACACACTTCACAAATGGCACAAATTGAACTAACAAGTGCAGCATTACTACGAGTAAGGTGTGGTAACTCCATGAGAAACATTTTGGAAGGTCACAAATGTATGTCACATACAACAAAAGATCACTGCATTTGACAGTAGACCCTGTTTTGTGTCACAACGTTGGCAAGGCATTGCCCGGGTCTACTTTACAAACAAGTCAACTATATTTGATGGCTCAGAGCGATAGAGAAGTAATGCTGCCAGGTGTGCTTTTTGCCTCTGGAAAACCTCTGTACTTAGGCCTTGACGGATTATGCTAATATTTTCATGAAATTATGCTTTTCGCATTGCTGAAAAAATTGCAGAATTATGCTATTTTTATGCTAAAAGTTATCATATTATGCCGCATTATGCTCACATATGCTGCTAGTAATGTATAATGATGGTTCTGTGCAAAATAACAGGAGATTTTTTTGTAGAGGGCGTTGTTCTGCAGTAGCAAAAGTTCAACGGGGTAAACGCACCGTCCGACGTAGCTACGACCGTCACTGATTGTAGTGGACTGGACATGTTATCAAGGGAGTCATAAACCTACGACTTCCTGGTGCATCTACTTGTACTTGTAGAACATGTACAACTGTATGGCATTTGATGCGAACAGGCGGATTATTCCAATTTATGCGATTCGTATGCAATTTGCCTCGAATTATGCGATTATTCGATTTTGGTAGGAATTATGCGAAAAATTATGCTAGCATAATCCGTCAAGGCCTACTGTACTACATATCGTAAGTCAAAAGACACGCGAGTGGTAACAGTGGTTTCCATGATTTTTTTACTATGTTCACATTTGCAGCTCGAAATTAGCAAGACAGTGGTACTGAGACTAGGGCAAACGTGAAAACTACTGAGCAGGGGCTGCACCGAGACGCAGCAGTGACTGTGGGGCATGGTGGGACATTGTGATAGTGGATCATTGATGGCTCTGCGAACCTGATAGACAGCATTGGTGATAGGAATCTTTCCGGACGTCTAATCGCAGAATGCGCCCAAACATTGAGCATCACAATGCCTTGTTTAACATGCACGAGCAGTTAAATCGTGTGTGTATTTTCTCTATACAGCGGTCTTGGGCATAATGCGTTCACGTTCATCCCAGAATATGCATTCTTGATGACGGTTCAACTCGAAAGTCTGTAAGTTACCTTAAAAAGGAAAATGTTCCCCTGGCAGTTCACCTGCAAAGCAGGAAGAGGAAATTGTTCCTCAAATGTTCTCCATTGTTGCTCAATTTCGAAGCTAGGTTTCCTTGGCAGGGGGGGGGGGGGAGGTCAACTGGTGAAATCCACAGAAAATGGCTTTGAAGGAAATGTTGAGATCGGTATAATGTTTTAAGAGAAACATTGAAAAAGTAAACTCAAAGTAGGATCCCTAAATGTTTGCCATCTTCTCAATACAAATCATGAAATTGACGATTATTCTTTCCCATAAAGTTGATAATGATAATGATGCTGGCAGAGACTTTCTTAACAACCTCCGTTTCCGATGATATTCTACGCATACAGAATTACACCCTGGTCAGACGCAACAGGCCAACTCATGGCGGAGGCTTAGCAGCATATGTAAGAGATCATCTCCGAGCCCGAATTGTGAAGGCTGACACCCAGATGGAAATGCTCATGTTAGAGGTCAGCGTGCAGCGTTCCAACGTTCTCCTTGGTGGTGAGTACCGTTCTCCAGGCACTCCTCTGCAATTCTGGCAAGACTTGACGAATGCACTAGACACTGTCGTCTCCACACTGCCCACGTCATCTCTGGTCCTTGTTGGAGTCTTCAATGTCGATGGAAGCTCCCGCGACAGTCCCCAGCTAAACGGCTTGCTGCACCTGTGTACTTCTTTCGACATTAAGAACCAAGTGGACAGTCCTACCAGAGTTGGACCCAGGGCAGCCGAACAACCCTGGATCTCGCTCTGGTCGGAGACGACCATGTGAACTCTTGTGCCGTTGTACTTGGTACAGTCAGTGACCACTTCGCTATGGCACTTGATTTGCGACTCCCAACGTCCTTCACACCGACCGTGCGACGTGGCCGTAACATGGCAAGAATCTACACGGGTCAATTTGCACATGTCCTTCTAAATAGCAATCTAGAGATCTTTTGCTTTGCGCGGACGGAAGATGAAATGTGGGATATGTGGCTGGAGAAACTTGTCGCTGTCTTGAACACTCATGCTACTATCCGTATTTGCCGCCCTAAAGCTCTTTCCCGGAAATCCTTCCCCTGGAAGACGCCAGCTAAGCATGACCTAGTCCAGGAACGTAACGCGGCCCATCGACGGTGGAAAGCATCACCTGCAGACCAGGCTCTACGCAATGTCTTCACTTCTGCCCGAGACGAATCCAAGCGTATGTCACGACATCTCCGACCCACCTACTTTAGGGACCTTCTTGGTGCTAGTCAGGCCAACGCACGAAAAACCTGGCAAACCATCAACTATCTCAGCGGTCGTATCCAGGCCTCAGTTCCACCAGCCGTCAGTGTCTCACGGCTGAGTGATCAATTCAGCGGCGTTGTGTCAGACCCAACTAGACCACTACGTCTTGCAGCCCCATTGGGTCCCACGTAAAAGGAATACCTCGAAGCATATGATCCAGCAAGTGTGCAAGAGATCGCTAAGCTGCTCTTCAACATTGACGTGCACAAAACTTCAGGCAGCGACCAGGTTCCAGCTGCAATCCTCAAACACTGTTCTCCTGTCCTTGCACCGTCCCTCACCATACTAATCAATTCATTTCTAGCTTCTGGTGTTGTTCCCGCATCTTTGAAGATTGCGGATGTTCGTCCCCCTTCAAGTCAAGCGACAAAGCTGTCGCTAAGAATTATAGACCAATATCGTTATTACCAATAGTCTCCAAAGTCCTAGCACGGGTAGTCCACACGCGACTGTGTAATTTCCTCCGCGAAAATTCCTTGTTCCCGGTAAATTAGTTCGCATATCGCCCACTTCACTCCACAGAAGATGCCCTGACATTGGCTGTAGACAGATATTTGGAGACAGCGGATCAGCAGCGCCACACAGGTCTAGTACTTGTCAACATGAGCAAGGCCTTCGATAAGGTCAAGCACCAAATTTTGGTTACAGATCTATTTCAGTTTTGCATTACCTCAACAATTTTAGAGTACGTAAGCACATCATATGTTCATACATTACACGCTGCCGAATATGATAAGCTTCTAGGACTGAGCCGCCGAACTGTTCGTGTTGTATATACCTACCCTTCCCGTGCTGACGTTGAGCCCATTTTGCGTTGTCACAACCTCCACCCACTCAGCCTACGCCGCACTCTTAAGCTTTTCATTTTTACTTTTCGGTGCATCAGGTCCCTTGGCAGTCCCCTCATCTCCCAAATCTTCACGACCCGAAATGATGCTACCCACACTACCTCCCAAACCAGAGGCCAAACATCCAGTAGTCTCTTTCTCCCCCATTCATGTCCCGGCCAGGCCTCTACAATCTCTCATTTCTTGGTGCTGACCGCTTTAATGCACTACCCGCTATCGTTCGATCCCAGCGTACCTTGCCTGCTTTTCGCGCTAGCTGCTCACAATTTCTCCTTGTGCACCCTGTAAGAAGGCCATAGGCCTGTTGGGTATACCCAAGTAAAAATAATAAATACTACAACTACTACAACGGCGCTCAATTGGTTCAGGAGCTACCTAGGCTCGATAGAATCATGCTACGATGACCCGACTTGTAGATTTGATATCCCTTTTCTGCTCGTCTTAACCCTGCCTCCCCCACCCTCGCCATTGCTACTTCCATTTTCGCATTTTCGTATTTTTATTTCTTGTTCTCTTCATTTCTGACTCTTCTTACTGGTTGTCATCGCTTTCATAATATTGGGCAGGACTGCCCGCTTGACATGCGATGTAAACTAAATAAACAACAACAACAACAACAACGAACCGCCGTCAGTGAGTCGTCCTGAGCAATGGCCAGTCGTCAGCCCTCTCTCCTTCTGAGTGTGGTGTTCCTCAGGGAGGTGGGCTGGGTCCTCTTTTGTTCTCCATGTACACAATGGAAATAGAACAGATCACAGCTCCAGCCCACTCACAACTGTTTGCTGATGATATCCTGCTAGACGCCATCAGTCGATCTGTCGAATTCCCACACAGATCCCATCTACACACGTCTTGGCCTCATCCCCATCATCCAAAACGCCCACTGTAAACTACGCCTCCTCATGCTTCGTATCCACACCGCCAGAATTAGCAATTTCCTGTCCAAGCGCCTTTGTCTCCAGACTGAAGGCACTCAGTGATCCAAATGCGTATGTTGTCCCTGCCACCAGGCGAGTCTCTGGTGACTGTCGGCCGCTCGTTTCTGCTGTTAGATTATGGAACGCCCTGCCCCAAGAGTTCAAGTCCCTCGCCTGCCATAGACCATTCAGGAGACTTTCTAAGGTGTATTTTTATTGCCAGCCAGCATCTAGGTTTGGTCTTGGAGTGGTCCTACGAAGTGACTGTGTCTTTTGTTTTCGTTATCTTTGTCTTTGTTCCTTTTCCTTTTTCCCTTGCACTTTTTCTGTCTTTCTTTCTTTCTTATTTTCCTTTTGTCTGTTTCTGTTTGAGTATTTGCAGTCTGTGTTTTTCTCTCTTCCGTGGAGGCTTACTTGTTGTATCCTTGGCTTTTGGGCGTTACTTTATCGCCATCATAATATTGGGCATCATTCACGTCATTGCCCGTTTGGTCTGCGATACAAAATATAATTTCAACAACAACAACAACCTTCAAGCGGCAGTTTGGAGGCGGTGAAAATTGTTTCGCAATCTAGCTATACATTCGCATGCAAAGACAGAAATCCACAAACTCAAGTACACACTTCCTTTCATCTATCATACGTTTTCTTTCACTTCTCTTCAGGATAGTACAGGGAATGCTGGTAATTAGGAAAACACAAAAACTGCCAAAGGCGTACCTGGACTTGAAAGCTCTTCGCGACCTCTAGTCCGCAGCTTCAACTCTACCACTACTTCCAACACTTCAGAGCAAAATTAATATTACTTTGAAGAGGAAGAGCAGCGGTGATCATTGGTCACGCGAAACGATATGCTTCTGTTAGCGCCACCATTATGATGTGAGCGACCATTACTGAAAAAGCGACTGAAGACTTGCATTCGGGTTCGAATGTTATCGGAGAGTGATCAATTTCGTTCTTAGCGTTAACAAATTCTCCGATTCACTCAAATATTGAAAGTCTGCTGCTTTGGGGACTTTTAGAATGCCCATGAAAACAAATTCTTTGCGCAGCTGACGGGTTGCTTCGAACCTATCTAAATGGCACCAAGAATGCGAAAAATGGCAAGCAAAGTTTGGTTGTTTTCTTTAGGCCGCGGTCACACCGCACACCTTTCAGCTATTCAGCTGCTGATGTGTGGTCATGTTTTACTTTTTGTAACTTTAAAACGTGAAAACCACCCACCCATAAGGAAAGTGAAAATGAATTCCGCTTGACCAAATCTCATGGGGAAACATATGTTCCCTTTTGGGAACATTGGACAAATTAACGTTATCTTAAATTAACACAATTGCTTTTCTTTCTTCTGCGCGTAGTGCCTTTATGGACATACCAGACTTACTTTGGAGATGTGAATCCACACACTGCAAGACAGCGCAGTAACAACCAAGGGTTACAATCATTGGAAAGGTTATTATTATTATTTTCACTAGTTTGAGGGAAAGAGACAAACGGGAAAATGCTGAAGAAAAAATTGACTGTCACCACCAGGACTCGAACCAGGGACCCTCGCTTGTAGCTAGCGATGCTCTAACCACTGAGCTATGGTGTGGTCGTCATCCCAGCAGAGACTGTTCAACATTTTCATCAGACTTCGTAGCTCACACTTCCTGTGAATCCACACCGGCGGGTGGGACGCAGCCCTCACTGTACCCACACACTACACGTGCACTCTAGCACGCAGGGAGCCCCAAGTCATAAAATCTTCACTAGTTTGAGGGAAAGAGACAAACGAGAAAAGTCTGAAGATAAATTGACTGTCACCACCAGGACTTGAACCAAATTATTATTATTATTATTATTATTATAGACAACACATCATAGCATGAAAAGAAAATCAGCCAGTACGGGAGATGTGGGTGTTAACCAACCATGGTGAATAAAATAGTTAAGTTACGCGTTTGTTAGAAAGTGGGGATCCCTCATGGTGCAACAAATCTGCTGTTATCTAAACGTACTTCCTGGGTTTTTCTATTGCGTGTTTGGTTTCGCTAACAGGTTTTTGCAGTTTAATAAGCTGTCAGTACTGCCTCCTGGTGTTTTCGACAGACTCACCAACCTAAAGTATCTGTAAGTCAAGGTTACGTGCGTTTCTCATTGATAGTGACTACATTTTACTTGACAAGTAATCTCGAGGCATCTTGCAGCTTCATGTGAAGAAAGTAGTTGGTTGGACACACTCATTCCTAAAGAACTGCAAATGACCGAACCAAGTCTACGTTTCGGCAATATTGCCATCGTCAGGTACGAATGAAAACAAATGATGCTGTTGAGTACGAAAAGGACCACTGACGACATGTTCCCCAGACATTGCAACGGACAACGGGAACAAGTTAGTGGGAGAGACATTTATTATAGACGACGAGACAAGAGACCAAGACGAGCAAAATGACTACATTGAAGAGTGAGAAAGAGAGAAAGAGATCAAGTCTGAACGGCAAGATAAAGGGCCTGGGTAGCTATGGCAATTATGACAAAAGGAGACAAAAGGTGAGTACGGGAGTGCATGCAGGCCAGCTAGAAAAGGTACGGGAGGAGGTACCTAACAATGCCATGAAGGCCAAAAAGAGCAGTTTACAGCAAAGTCCTACCGCCGCACAGCATTATCTCTCGCAATAATAATAATTGAACAAACGGCGAGGAGACAACAATTTGATAACCTCAATCAGTAATACAAGCTGGATCGACATTTGTGTACACTTTATTCATGTACTGTAAAACTGTGGAGACAAATTGCAATAAAACGATGAAAATGTGAAGAAATGGTGTAGAGAAAATGAGGATTCAAACAAGTTTTCGTACAACACTCATCAGGAATCTTCGTTGTACTAAAGGACAATGAAAACAAAATTGAACTATTATAGAAAATCTAAGTTAGAGAAATAGAACTAAGAACAACAGCAGTGAAATTTACAAGTGTGAATTTTCTCAATGAAAGCGAGAGCAATAACGAATGCGGGTACTAACACTAAACTTGCAACTGAAAAATGAACAAAGAAGAGAAAGGGACAAAGTGATAACAAATAACAGCAGTACATTACACCTAGAAAATTAACGGCCAAGCTTGGCCGCACCAAACATGACACTTTACTTGAACAATTTCAACCCAATTATACTATCCTTCTGTACACAAATTAGGCTTATACAGACGCTGACAGATGGCTTCCAAAACTTTTAACTGTAGTCCATAGCCATGACGACCACGGCACATTACAGTGAAAGAAGAGTCGGAATACGAATTGCAACAATCAGGACTAGCCAACAGATGATTGTACACTGAAGACTTGCTACCACGAAACCTACGCACAACGGTAACATTCTCACCGGCACTCCCACGATCACTACAATCGTCGTTCATTGTTATTACCTGACGATGGCCAAGTGCCGAAACGTTGTATTATAATGGAATGGTTAAGAGTTGCAGAGAATTGTGGAATGGTTGAGTTCACCCAATTGTGTAAATACTATGAAACTGCAGGCAGCCTCAAAACTTCTTCTCAATCCAGTTATTATGATAATAATTAGTTGATATTATCCTACTAGTTACAGTAAAACCTGTCAAGGCGACCACTTGGATAAGGTTGGTTGGTTGGTTGGTATATCTTATTTTACTTCGCCAGAATGAACAGGCATTGCTGCCTTCTTGCCTGGACAAGTGGATTGTCCAAGCTCTCACAAAAAGACGAAGAAAGGAAAGAAATATTACATGAGAGTGTGAAGCATGCAATCTTATAAAATAAAAATAATAATAACATTTCCATGAGAGTGTGACGCATGCATGATGAGAGAGGAGAGATAGATTCGAGATAGAGAGAGAGAGAGAGAGAGAGAGAGAGAGAGAGAGAGAGAGAGAGAGAGAGAGAGAGAGAGAGAGAGAGAGAGAGAGAGAGAGAGAGAGAGAGAGATAAGGTGACCACCTGTCCTTGAAGACCACTGAAACAACGACCAAGGGATGCTATTTCCAGTGAAATGAGCCTTGATACGGAGACCACCTGGTAAGACCACATTTTGAAGGTCCCTTGAGCGGTCGTCTTAGACAGGTTTCACTGTACAGTGTGTAGTATTCTTACATGGGGCCTCGTGTCGCGAATCTCGATGGTTTCGCGCAATTTGGGGTGGGCGCTATCTGGCTCCCTGGCAACAACGGCAACCGCAGGGAACTCACTCTGCATGGCCACATACAAAATTGCAATCTGGGTGGGTCGTACGGAACTGGTCTCCCCATGGCTTCTCTATTGCCTGCCTTACCGATCGAGAACATCACACTACACATGTGGTTCTCTATCCATGCTTTCGCTTTAGCTCTATACGTTGCTGCACTGTGATATTGTTCCATTGTTCCCTGCACTTACCTATGATGAGAAGGGAACCAAAACGTTCGGTTACTAAATTGGCTTACTTGACTGCGTGGATTGCGTCGCGACTGAAACCTTTTTCGAAATACGGGAGAGTCTGTCCCTATGGGCTTTCTGGTGGCGTGTGAAGGTATGGGGGAAACCATTAATTTTTAAATTGCAATAAGTGCAGTGCTAACACTGCCTACAAGTTCAACATTATACGGGCCCATGAACATTGAACTGTTTTGCAATTTTCTCAATGTTGCGTTCATATTTGTCTGCGTACTTATGCACAGGAACCTTGCGGACAACAAACACCTCTCCAGCCTACCTGCAACAGTCTTTGGGAATTTGAGAAACCTTCTCTACATGTGAGTCACTGATCTTGTTTGCCACAATTCTAATGACTATAGTGCCCATCTCCTATCGTTGACCGCCCCTGATCTGCACAAGCTGCTTCCCCGTCAGGCGACGCCATGACCGAAATGGCTCTGGAAACTATGCGTCTGAGCACCTCATGCACAACAATCACGCGAACGTAAGGTTGGTTGTCCAGGGCAATTAATCGGGCATGAAAGAAAATGCACCGGATCCTCAGCCGGAAACATACGGATGGCTAGAATGCAAGAGAGGTCTGCAATGTAATGTCACAGACTGTTGGAGACCCTTTGAATGTGGAGCACATACGTCGCCAAAAGGTTTAATTCATCCCAGACGGGGCCGATCGATCTCTCCGATTGAATGGCCACGAACGTCATAAGATCGCCGCAGGGAGGACACCAGATTTTGATCGGTTAACGTTAGGAAATCTCGGGGCTTCATGGCTTCAGGAAGTGGCAACCGTGCCTCCAGGTTAGCATATTTTTTGTTAAAACGTTATAAAGGCGCTTGCATCAGCAATTTCATGCCTCCAGTCAAGAAGACACTTCTCACATGGTCTCGAACGTTTTCGTTGCCCTTTCCTCAAGGATAGTACATGTACATGTACCGATAATGGCTCAAATACAAAAGTACAAAGTACTACTACGTATAGTACATAAAGGCAATGTGAAAACAACAAAATTGCAGCGAAAGGAACCAAGAGTTGCAACTTCTCTATCAAAAGACAACTGTCAACATGTGCTAGTTGTCGTGATTTGGGTCAGGATTGTCACGTGGTAGAACTGGATTGCAGTATCCTGTGATAGAAGGGGAACGATACAAAACCTTCGGCAGTCACTTCCTTAAATTCTGTTCCATTACTTTAACCACGTGCCAAGCATGAATGAACGTTCCAGACAAAGTACCAAATTCTGCCAACTGTTCTTCCGGCATTGTCCTTGGGACTCCGATGAGTGAGGGCGACAGCGATGCAGCTATCGATGTTCGCCCTCTGTATGGCAGTGGTTGTGAGACTTATCATCGCACCCAAGCCACCAGGTCCTGAAATCTGAAGCCACCCTGGTATAATCAGACATAGTGTTGACTGGACACGAGCAATACGTATTAAGCTGGCTGTGTTTCTGAACACAATAGTCTATCGTATTAATTATTGTTGAAAGGAAAAGGAAATATAGATACGAGTTTCCTTTTCCTTTCTATATTTATTATTGGCCCAACATCCAAGTTTCAAATATTAATTATTATTCTTATCTTTTTCATCTTTCCCTCGAGTGGGTCTATTGTTATTAGGCAATTGTCTGTTATAGTCACCACTATAAATAAAATCCAATCCAATCCAATCCGAACACAAAACACCACTGCGCAGCAGGTGACAACGAGCATGTCCGAACATAGTATCATAATTTGGGACATGGTTCGGCCTCATTTCCTCTGTCCTGCGCTGATGAGTCAGCAAAGGACGAAACAGCATGCTGTCCCCATATTGAGTAAGACATGTGTGCAATATTTGCCAGGACGACAGTGAATCGCATGTAAATACTCATCTCGATAGTGGTCGATAACGTCCTGTTCTGAATGAGATCATGACTTGGGAGGCTAGTCCCATCAACACAACATACCGATGCGTACTGGTACATGCTTTTTCCGCCTGTGGTCCTGGAAGATTAGAACTGCTTGTCTTCTCGTCATATCTATCTTTTCATATCGTTAAATGCTCGTACATGTGTGTAGTGTTCTCATTCTACTTTACATGATGTACATTGTTATCACGAACTGCAGTGATTTAGACAGATGCGGCTTAACACGGCTGGAATCGAACATTTTCGAGAATACAACCAAACTACTAATAATGTAAGTGGAGGCAAGCACAATGTCTGTACGTGACGCACTGTTATCAGCTTATCATGTTCCACTGCCCGAACGGTGCTCAATACCCAGGTTAGATATAGACTTTCTTCTTTCTACAAAATCCACATATCTCCTGACACTGGGGTGAATAATGGAGTGTGGTGATGGGACTTACACACAATAGACAGACTTGAAGCTGTGTTGCGACTCTGCCATTTTATGTATAAATGTAAAGAACGATAATTTAGAATTGCGATACACAGAAAGACCTGAACACTCATTTCACAAAGGCTCTATTGTGTTCAAAACGACAGCCACAGCGGCAGCGTACTCTGGCACGGCAAGACTATTTTGTCAGTATCTACAACTTCGAGTCATGTTGCTGGTGTGTGCGGTCGGCCAGAGAGCGTGTTTCGTGGCGGTGAAATTCCTTTATAGCAACGATATTTGAAATTGAAATGTTCATTGCAGCTGCCTAGAAAAAAGTGTTTGCTCCCCACACTGGAGCTGGCGCCTTTCCGCCGACTTGAGGTGACACTTGACTGACTCACAACTGTCATCTAGAGCACGCGAGAAGTCCATCGAACCTTCCACTCCGCAAACCTGCAAAAAGGTACCACTCCCTGCTCAATACACGGTGCTCCAGGGAATTCACCCCTCACCAGCCGAGGTTGAGTAAGCTGAGGAAGATTGTGTCTGAAGGTTACCAAGTTCTCACGGTCAAGGAGCGACACAGACTGACGCTGCTATGTTGTGGTCATGAGATGGAAACGGAGCGTCCCTGTACGTTTGTATCCCTGGTCATCGTTTGACCTGGAGAGCAAACGATGTAACGAACGCGAGCCAGTTCGACGACGCGATCAGGGTCCCAATTCCAGCGCCAGGTTTCGACGTTTTGGTGTGTTAGTGCTTGTGGTGGGCATGCAAGGGACACATGTCCTCCGACGAGTACATGATCTGACGCTCCGACAGGGGGGATACGATATGACAGATGAGTCTTCTTCTGGTACGTTGGAGATGACTACGTGGAGGCAGGACTTCAAATCGCCTCTGGAAATACAGGTACAGGTCGTGAAGTACACGTGCTGGTTTAATCCTGCATTTTGCGAAAGGTAGCTCAGCAGGTCGCCAGCCTTATCAGTGACATCAGTGGGAGGCCATGAGGTGTATTCTGCGTTCATTTCTCCTACCAATAGAAACGGAGATTGCATATTGCGGAGACCTAGACAGGCTCCAGTTGGAGGCCGAATGTGTGCGGATCTGTGTTTGGAGGACGATAGCAGCATCCAACTGCAAGTGTTCGTAACCCCGAAGAGTGTGCAACTGGCATTCACCCTGCGCTGGGCGAAATTCCTACATTACGTCATGAGTAACTTGTCATCCAAGGTAAATTTGTGTTCCTTGAGATTTCCGGAAACTATACCCGGAAACGCTCGTAAATCAAGGCTGTAGCCTCGACATTTCTAAGTTTTGTTTGAAGACATTTCGGACGTACAAGTCGTACTTTCTCAAAAAAACACTTGAACTCTTTCTTCAAGCATCCATGGCCATCGACAGGAAGAAGTGAGGACGCTGTCAATGATACAAGTGTAGCTTGGCGAGGCAAAAAAATATTGTATTGTCGTCAAGGATAATCTTTCTGATATGTGTGCAACTCAGCTGAGAAATGCTCCTTCGACGCATTCTCAGTTTCCTCAATCATTCGATCTTTGAAGAAAGCACCGGAAATATGCCGAGGGCCCGGGGAAGAAATATTTTTCGAAGAGACTGACTGCACTGGCGAAAGAAGAAGGCGATGATCTGAAGAAGTGAAGATTCACCATTGGCATCGAAAAAATAGTTTTGTCTTTGGGATCAGGGGCGTTATTTTACTTCTTGATCCGGGACTGAGATAAGAACCGGAGTTTAGGCCGTTTACCCTGAGGAAGCATCCCGGTTTGACTGCGAATTTTAGAAGAATTCATCGGCATGGCTCATCGCAGTGCACCAAAAATGACGCAATGAGGGAATTCCGCCGAGCGGGCTTCCATACAGGGACTGATCAGGAGTTGCACACTCTTGGTGGTTATGAACTCTTGGTGATACATTTGGTTGGTCAGGTTCAACCAAAAGTAATTCGAAGTAGTTCATCGTGATGTTTGGGCGAGGGCATAGTGGGGTGGTCTAAGACCATGATTGAGAAACAGATGGTACCAGGTTCAAGTCCTGCTTGGGAGCGGAAGGATTTTTCCAGCCATGCTGCGACCCGTGGTTAATAGGGAACTCGTGGGCTGGCCCGAGGGAGGCATGGATGCAGTGAATGGAATTTACACTCTTTGACCACTTTGTGCTGTCTGATCTAATCACCTCCCACCGCTTTAGGAGCTGCATCTGCGCCTTGATCCACAGAGCGTGGTGGCGTTCCTGCGGATGCAGACAACTCGGCCTCCAGCCATATCTCACGCGAAAAGTGAATTTTTTCCTATGGCTTTGAATGTAAAAAAGAGAAGAAACACATGAGAACGAGTTATGCAGCAACTATCCACGACTGTAACAAGATGATAAACCCCCTCTCTCGCTGATCCAGTGCCTGCACACTACTCTGCCTGGCAGCAGCTCCGATCTAACTTCTCCGTATTGCCCCCCCCCCCACTGAAAGCAACGCAGCTGTTGGTCCATTGCCATAGTTTCCTGAACTAATCCGGCACTCACTCACCCCCCCCCCCCCATCTCTCTCTCTCTCTCTCTCTCTCTCTCTCTCTCTTTCTCTCTCTCTCTCTCTCTCTATCTCTCTCTCGCTCTCTCTCTCCATCATTGTCTGGCTCTCAGGTTCTCACTCTTCACACACAGTCTTTCTTTTCTCCCTTTCCCCCATGGTGTGTGATGTGCGCCTTGATCCGGAGACCATTGGTCGGGGGAGCGCACTTCACCTCACCGGCACAGCTCAATAGCACCTACACGCCCTTTGTAGTCTATGTTCTCTTGATGTTGTTGTTGTTTTTATCTTCCATTCTATGATCTATGTAGGCATATGTGCACTTTCATAAAAAAAATTAAAAATTAAAAAAAAACAGCCAGAAAGTGCGATAATAGGGCACAAAACTGACAAGCTACTGAGACATTCCCCTCTTCAGTCCTACGTAACCATGAACCTTCCAAGTTAGACGGCTGTTGGTTTGCGGAATGGAGGTGTGTTAGAGCTAGGTCTCAGGTCGCTGAATGTCTCAGTAGCCTGTTAGTTTTGCGTCCTATTACACTGTATCGCACTTTCTAACTGTTTATCATCTTGTTACAGTGTGGATAGTTTCTGGACAACTCGTTCTCATGTGTTGCTTCTCTTTTTTTTTCATCTATTACTGGCTCAGTATCCGAGTTAAAATTTTGGTTTTGAAGTATGCTTCTTGTATTTCTTTATTTGAATTCTCAAGTACGATAATGCGTCAACGCCTTGCTGATGCGGCTCAAAGCTCAATGCGAGGGCACATGTTGCCATGGCATTTGTGCGGCTGGTTGAGAGGTGTACAACTTCTGAACGTTTTTCGCAACGCTGGTGCAAAAAAGGTCCAGACTGAATATCGCTAGAATGTTTTCACAGCACGTTTTACAGAGATAACGGTGAGGCTTTTCTTGACTCATTATTAGACAAAGGGGAGTGATTTTTGTTCGACATGGTTGAACTACAGAGATTGGAGAAACTAAGGATTTCTCTTCTTGGCATGCATTCTTTCATGTTTGCTTGCAGCGGGTTAACTGCCAATCAATTACAATTTCTTCCCGGAAATATATTTTCAAAAATTACTGCCCTGAACGAACTGTAAGTTACTGGAATGCACATGTACTCACTTCAGACCTTCTCACACATGAACTTTCACGCAAACATTTTTAACCTTCCCTGGCACTATCCATTTGGTTTCAACATCTTGTCCAACCCGCCCGCATAAACGCTGATAATACACTTTTGGTAATGCACTCAGGGCAAACGTTCTCAGCCACTCACTCATTCACGTTGGTGGATGTGCGCAGTCCGCCATTCCTCTACACACACCCGCGTCTTGCCTCTAGGACCACCATTTTCGTCATCTGGGTCAGGTTGGGCAGGTCGGGTCATCCAGGATCCCGGCCCTGGATGAAGCATCCTGCTACACAAATGTGCTGTGGAATCGTGCACACTTGTTGTGCCACCTTGACATTGCCTGCCTGGTCTGAGACGCTCAAGGCACTCGTCAAACGTTTTACGCCTCATAATTATGCAGGCATACCTGGTGACTGGTGTGCGTCCATTGAGGTTGTTGTGTACAGTGTTGCTTTCCTTACTATGAAAAATCTCTTTCCCAATCCGAAAATCTTGTTTTGGTAAATTTTCATGACTTCGTTGTAGTGTGGCGATGATAGCAGAATTTGTTCTCTTTATTGCTATTATAAAATTGTTGTCTCCCCGTCGATTATTTACAATTCGAAAACGTTGTCTTAATGTCATACCTGTTGACATTTCGAATTCATAGTTAGTTTCTCCATTCCGTGTAGTAGCCTGGTGGAGGCGGGAAGGTCAACCTGTCCTCTTGGTTAAGTTAAAATGTGTGATATTGCGCAGTTGCAAACTGTAATTGCTGTTGGTGTTGTGCTTTTATTTATATATAATGTTGCGCACCAAAATCTGAACAACGAACTACATGTAGGGATGGCAAGGTTCTATAAGCCTATTCAGGATGGCCATGCTCACTATGAGTGTTGCAGCTAGGTGTCAGGTCACTAAATGTCTCAGTACTTCTTGTTAGTTTTGTGGCATTTTGTCGCACTCGCTGACTGTATAATCTTATGTTGGTGGATAGTTAGTCATAACTCGTCACATGTTGTCCTTCTTCTTTTTTTCCATTATGAAATTGGCTCTCCATCCGAGTTCAACTTTGCGTACTGATTTTACAGATATCTTTGTTTTAGGATTTAGTAAGTTGCTGACTCGGAATCCCAAAAAAAGTTGTTAGAATAATAGGCTCTCGCAGAATATTGGCTCGAACGTACAAGTACTACTCTATGCCAATGGTTGCTCCTTTGCCTGATCTCCTCACCAGGCTGACTTAGTGATAGCAGAACTACTGATGACGTTGTGTAATTAAATCGACAGGAAACGGGCGTTCGGCATTTTTCTAGAGTACACTGTGATAGGAATGACTTGGCTAGTGCACACAATTTCCTCATAAACATCACAAGTTCTAAATTTCAAGAGGTAAATGTCGCTCCAATGGTATTTTTTCACTGTACCAAATAATTATGGTGAAATTGCAATTACGTGCTGGCTTTCCCAAACAGACACATCAGCGATAACAATCTGGCCCTAACCGCTGTGAACTTGTGCCCATTGGCTGATGTGGAACCTCATTTGAAGACTTTTTCCGCGCGGCCCGCGCTTAAGGCACAAGTGACACAAAGTAAGTCAGACTTTTCTCTATGGCAATACTCCAAAATTAGCTCTAACACCAGGACCGAGAATCTACAATAATTGTTAATCGTGTCCAGCCGTCCTGCTGCTTTTTAAATTAGATTGGTGCCATGCATATTCAAGACATAATGGACCTAAATTCTTGAGTGTTGAGGGTTAAACTAGTTAACGATAATAACCCATAGCTGTGTTTTACCTTCTTTTTTCGTTCGTCCCTCTTGATATTTCCACTTTGTACAGTTGAGGCCACTAACTAGTTGATTAGTATGGTGGAAAGGAAACACCTGGCAATATGGCGGAAAATACACACCTACCCAATCACGCTCTCTAGGCTGTAAAGTTCTAGCACAGAGCTCTCATTCTCACCACCACCACCATCAGCACTTATGGTATTTTATTTTTATTTTTATTTACCGCCATATTGCCAAGTATGTCCTTACCACCATGCTAATCAACCATAATCACAGCTGGAGTGGTGTTCTAAACTTCATTCTCCCGAGTCAAGCTCCGTGCGATGACATCCCAGAAGAAGATTGCCTGCTGAGTCCAGCGTGGACGAAATGTATGTCGCTATCTAGTTATGGCGTTGCTGTGTCATCTTCTATGTGCCATGCGCTACCTGGTGTACCAGCCTGCTATGTCGGATACCGCCAACCATGCACCGAGTAGGCGCGAGGCGCGAACTGATGGTGGTAGTAGTGAGAAGGAGAGCTCTGTGCCAGAACTTTGCAGCTTAGAGAGCGTGTGTGGCAGTCGTGTGTTTACCGCCATATTGCCAGGTGTGTCTTTACCACCATATTTATCAAGCATAAATACAGCTTCAGTGGTATCGTCAACTTCATTCTCCCGAGGCAACGAACTGATCTAATAAAACCAACCCAAAACCAAGCAAAAAGTCTAGAGGCGCTTGCGATCCCCGGCCACAGAACTACAGGCTAGCAGTCACATCCTTTATTCCTGAACCCACAAATTGCGATACAGATTGTAAACCATTCGAGGGAAAAGAAAAACCCATCAATGAAAAAAAAGTTATTTTACCACGCCAGACGGCTATTATTAGGTCATTTACGAATTGTAGTATATGAGTTAGTGGTCACGCACCTACAAAATACTATTGTAGGATAATATTAAAATTGCCTAGCATGCCTACAAATCCGCAGAACATGCCAATATAAAATAGGCCAACACATGAATAATGAAGGCGGTTACGTGGATAAAAGGCGACATCAGTCGAGAAAAGAAGAGCCTACTCAGTATTCTCTTCCGCAAGTAAGATGCCCTGCAACCACGGAGGCGCGTGGTTGACCACCTCAGCAAACCAAATGTAAGTTTGCAGCATGGCTGCAGGACCACAGGCTAGCTAGATTCTTAGCACTAAGTAAACGGGACCATTGCAATGGCTGACCCCATCATACCAAAAGCACTACGGGGCAAGTATGGTCAATACCCAAATCATTTCGCCAGGATCTCACGGCATACACGGTGCATGCCCTGAAATACCGTGTACAAAGACGGTCGGATCTCTTGTGATCGACCAAGGAAAATTATGAAATCCACGAAAGGGACAGAAAAGCTTCCAATCTCAAGCTACTCACAGCCATGATCATCAGTTAGAAATCCGAAGTTCATGAACTAGTTGTGGTTCGCGATAAATGCGGCTGGAGGACGAGTTTTTTCTAATCCGTAGGAACGCCAGCACTCTCTCTGCATGAAGGCGCAGATGCAGCTCCTAAGCGGTGGGAGGTAAGTATATCAGACCCACCACAAAGTGGTCAAAGACCGAAATCACATTCGCTGCATCCCTGTTTCCCTCGTGCCAGGCCACGAGTTCCCAGTTATCTGTGGGTGGCAGCACGGTTTGAAACAATCCCTCCGCTTCCAAGCAGGACTTGAACCTGGTGTCCTCTGTTTCTAAATCATGGGCTTAGACCATCCCACTACGCCTGCCTGCATTCCCTATGCCTGCTTGTAGAACTAATGAAAAATAATGCTAAATAGCTTCGCCTACTGGTAACCAGTACCACTAGGTAAAACGTTTAGCAAAGAATTATGCACAAGGGGAGATGAGAAAAAAGAAAAAAGAGGAAGAGAAGGTGAGACGTGGCACAAGAGGGTCTAAAACACACACTGTGTAAAGACCTACACCGAAAGGACGCTAGAATAACTAGTGGGGACCATTCGACCGTCCTTTAGGCTATACCTGGTCGTGCAAAAGTTCTATTTCTGACTAACGGCTTGAGCCTCATCACATTTCCAACTGTATTTTCCCTCTGTATAACAATCTGGTGTGTATCCTTGCTTGTTCCAAATCCTCATATCCAATTCTCTTTCCCATGCAGTGGTAAACAATTGTCCTGGAACAGGAACACGAGTTAGGTGTTACTCCCAAAGCGATGTGTCAGATTACTTTTGCCATTGTCCTATTGGCGAGGTGTACACGGGTTCCTCCTGTGTAAGCCAATCAATTTGCGACGCTCGGGATCGGTATCAGGCTTGTAGCAAATATCCTACCTGCAAGGGGTCATTGGATGTAGGCTACCACTGTCACTGTGGAAGTGAGTTCAACCTTATTGCATCAAACAACCTTAATGCATCAATGTGTAGCATTGTTCCAGAGTGTTCATTGTGTGCCCGACAAGCAAGGTGCGTCGCTACATCCGGCAACCACACATGCCTTTGCAATGAAGGTTACAAAGGTGAGGTGCAGAATAGAGAGAAGATGGCAATAACTCACATTTAGTCAGTGCAATTATTATAATTTTTAAGGAAGTCATGTATTATTAATGTGCCTCCCTTTCTTTTTCTCTCCCTATCTCCTTTCCCTCTCTGACAGCATCTTTCTTTTTTTTCCCTTTTTAGCTTGCCGTGGTTGGCTATCACCTGACCTCTCATGTTTATTGGCAGTCTTCGGACGGGCCAGGAGATGTTGAATAAATAAATAAATAAATAAATAAGTTGGCTGCCGGTAGTTACGATAATGTGCATTCCCTTTTCCGTGCACTGGAATAATGTAGGATACATGCAACAGCCTACTGACACGGTGTAAATTTGTGGTTCACAGCAGGAAAGGGTGTACCAGTTTGCTGTCACAGCACTTCTGCTTCTTTTTTGGTGGTTTTTACACAAGAACTGTGGGTAGCAGCACGGCTGGAAAACATCCTTCCGCTTCCAAGCAGGACTTGAACCTGGTACCCTCTGTTTCTCAATCATGGTCTTAGACCATCTCACTATGTCTGTCTGCCGTGCTGCGACCCACAGTTAATTGGGAACTTGTGGCCTGGCACGAGGAGAACATGGATGCAGTGAATGGGATTTTCGGTCTTGGACCACTTGTTGGCGAGCTGATCTACTCACCTCCCACTGCTTTAGGAGCTGCATCTGTGCCTTGATCTTTGAAGGGTGGTGGCGTTCCTACGGATGCGGAAAACTCGGTTTCCAGCGGAGTCTCACGCGAACCGTGAATTTTTTTAATTTTACACAAGAACTCTCCAATTTTAATTTGCGATGTTAGCAACTTTTGATCTTTTTCTGAAAATATGGATGCGATTTCAGCAACTTGCACTTGTTTTGGCACGGTTGCGAAAAGTATAATTTGCGAAAAGGTATGGCATCTTTGGTATAGGGCTACTCCGAAGTATGCCTACTTGAAGTCCATACCTAATATACATGTAATACTGATTGCAGCCCTATTCTAAGATGCCCGTCACGAATCATTTCGCATTATCTGGGTGGAGTGGGGTTCTAAAAGACTGCCCCTATAAGTGTTTTCACTGGTTTGATGGAAAGACGCAAACGGCACAAGTCTGAAGACAAAATTAATATTTAAGGGGACGGCTCATCAGGTGTGCAAGATCTAGAATGGACTCGCCAGTCAGTTGTAGCGCGTCAGTACCGTCGGTCAGTGTCGTGCAATGTTATCGCGTGAGATGATTGTTTAGTAGCTGGTGGTGTTAGCGGACATTCTAGCGTAACTTGTAGTTTCTTGGTCCTTTTTCTTTACTATAAAAATATTAAAATTGAGAGAAAAGAAAAATGGACCAAGGAACTACAAGTTCCGCTGTAATGTCCACTAACACCACCACTTAGTTCCTTGGTCCTTTTTTCTTGTCTATAACTTTATCCTTGGCTCTCCATCCGAGTCCATTCTTGAACACCTGATGAGCAGTCCTGAACTATACGCCGAAATGATCGTCGTGTGAAACTGCTGCTTATTGTGCATCTAACTTGTCATATTCGAAGTACAGTGCTGTTGTTTGACCGTATTGTCCAATGGTCTTGCCAGTATCGTCATCGACATGCATGTACATCCGCCAACGTCCTTCACAGCTGAGACTTTCAGCTCGTGCTTGTCTTGGTTGCGCTCACCTTCCCCTCCTATGTTATCATATAACTTAGAACCTTCCAAGTTGGAAGGCTGTTGGAGTGCGCATCCAAGAGTGGGTGGCGTTCCTTCGGATGCGGAAAAGTCGGCTTCCAGCCGAGTCTGACGCGAACCGTCATTTTTATTCATTCAGTTCATCATGTCCTGTTTCCGTGCAGGTAATTCTACAGATTGTGGAGATATTGATGAGTGCCATATCACAACAACTAGCAACTGTCCAAGAACAAGTCGATGTGTCAACACTCCTGGCAGTTACTTTTGTGTTTGCCTCCCTGGATACTTGGCCAACTCGATAGCAGAGACAGGTAGGCTCACACGAAATGGTCTTCTCTGTGTATTTTTTGTATTATTATTGTATTTTATTATTTTTACTTGGGCAGTCCCAACGTTGGGACTGCCCAAGTAAAAAATACAATAATAATACAGCAACATACCCCTATCAGGTCTTTTTACAGGGTGCCCAAGATGAATTGAGGATAATAATGAGTGCGAAGGAGTTCGGGAAGCGCCAAGGAATGAAATAGATTTGTATCCAGCTTAAGTTTGCACCATGGGTAAAGAAATGGAGAATATTGACTTGGCCTCGGGTGACTTTATCAGTGTGAGCGCAGTAAACGGCTGTATTTAGTTATCCAGCAAGTCGGTTATCCAACGGCGCCGCACTGACAGCTCATAGCCTGTGCAAGTACACTAAATTCCATTGATAGTTGAATAAAATGTGGACAGTGAGCACCATGAACGTTGCCATGACGCGACATCACTGGAACGTACAAGTCAATCTAGACAGTTGTCTAAGGTCCTTAGGCTGTGTATAGTGCTCTACATGTATGTGCAGTGAACAGAGCGAGTAATACAATGATCACACAGCAATGAAGCAACCAAGTCCTTTCCCGCCGTTACTCGGATTTTGATGTGAAACACTCATAAGACAGCATGACCCAGACTAGCATTCACAAGAATATACACGGAGGGCCTTGAGAAAGGAGGGTAGAGGTGATGGAGGTAGTGGTAGAGGAATAGTGGCATTCTATACATGTAGCACACACACACTACTCTAGTGTGCAATTACCTGTAAACAAAGCGGTATACGTGTGTGCTGCATTATGACACATCTCATTGTGTCCGAGCGTGGTGTAACAACAAAATGTCTTGTCAATGCTAGGTTTGGTCGTGCTGTCTTATGAGTGTTTTACGCGAAACTCAGAGTAACGGCGGAAAAGAACTTAGTTGCGAAATTGCTGTGGGATTATTGTACAAGTCAATCTATATACTAGTAGATGAACACGGCAACCTTCTCTGGTTAGCCCATGTGCTGTCTATATGCAATGAACATAATAATCAATATGACTGTTTTCGCAGCAAGGTTACAAAGAGCAGATTCTTATTGTTTCTTCAATGTAGTACATGGATCTGGGCAACCCAACCCAGTCCAAATGAACATTTTAGAACCGAACGTTTTGGTTCCGTTCTCTTCATGGGCTCTTAGTAAGTTACAGGGAATGGAGCAAAAATGACAGCAATTATATCTTCAGGCACAATCTTCCTCAGCCTACTCAAGCTCAACTGATGAGGCGTGAATTCTCCGAAACACTGTGTATTGAGCAGGGAGTGGCGCTTTCTTGCAGGTTTGCCGAGTCGAAGGTTGGATGGACTTCTCGTGTGGTCTGGATGGCAGTCGTGAGTCAGTCAAGTGTCAAGTCAAGTCGGCGGAATAGCGCGAGCTCCAGTGTGGGGAGCAAACCCATTCCAAACAGCTATAATATATTGGCAAATAATTGAAAGCGATAGAGCCCATGAAGAGAAAGGAACGAAACCGTTCGGTTCTAAAGTTTCCTAAATTAATGTTCATTTGGACTGGTGTGGATTGCGCTGATTCATATACATGATTTTACTACATTCAAGAAGACGTTTCCGATTTGTCCGTTTTTTCGTGTCTCATGAAGTCATGAAACATTTATTGCATTTTACGGTTTCTGGTCACTGTTCTTTTAAAAAGGAACAGTGACCAGAAACCGTAATGGAACTCAACTTTTCTTTCTGTGATGGTGACGTGCCCGTGCGTGCACTGGTGAGATGCAAAACACCTTTCTGTAAAATCTAAGAGGACAGAAACTAGATCAACGTTTTTATATATTTTTCTTTTCTCTTATTATCAGTGGGACCATTGTCATTAGGTTTAGGCCTGTTTTGGAACTCCACTCTAAATAAAGCAAAACAACAACAACAACAACAACAACAACAACAACAACAACGTGGCCTAAGACTTCTCCATTTTTGGGCACACCATAGATCTATTCAAGTTTGATGTTGACGTTCGCTTTAAAATTATCGATTCCTTCTAACACGAAAATTCCTTCCAATGCTCTTGTATCAACATGTATGTTTTAGGCGAAATTCAGTGTGACGACATGAATGAATGCACCGGAAATCCGTGTGATACTAATGCAACTTGTACCAATACAGCTGGTAGCTACACATGCCACTGCAAACATGGATTTGTATCGCTGATCGAACAAGGTGAAGGTGATGTTCAAGGTGAGGGTTCGCCTTCAAATACATGTACTTGCACGGGTATAATTATAATAATTATGGTTCCACCGCTAGGGTTTACCGGGTGTCAGCGGCCGTTGTGAGTTCCCTTCGGGAATGCACACAATAATTTTACTTTTTTTTCACTTTAATACAAAAAGTAATGGTTGTGTGCACATGTATAGGGTTTATCCGGACTTCAATTTCCTTGACAAAATCAATAAAATTGGTTCTGACGATGGGTGACTGACCCGAAACGTCATAAAGTTTCGATATCACAGATAAAGAATTTTTCATCCAGCGCATGCGCCGACTGTGAATAGCAACTGAATAGAGCGATTGTCCGTTGACAATCCCCCTTGTCTTTAAAATCAATAAAAAGACCAACGCTTGGGTTTCGGGTCTTGGAATAAATTTTTGATTACACACTTTCCGTTGCCTTTGCTTTGCCATCTTGCTCGCCGTTATCTGCAGGGAAAGGAGTAGTGTGTCAGGATGAGAATGAGTGCGTTCCTCTTCCTGGTGCTACTGTGGCAACAGCAAGATGTCCAGTCAATAACAAATGTGTGAATAGTCTTGGAAGCTATCAGTGCGAGTGTACAGCTGGTTTTGAATCTGTCCAGGATACTCCCCTAGGTGAGTAATGCCATTCCCGTCTCTGTTCACTGCCAAATTCTTCATGAATCTTTCTATTACAGCAACAAGAAGGACTGACTGTCAACATGCAGGAGTGGAGTCACCCCGAGTTAGGCCTTGGCGGATAATGCTCGAAAAGGTGGCAGATTCTGCTTTTTTTGCACCGAAATTGGCAGAACCATACAAACCTTATGGCGGGCAATTCCCCGAATTCTGCTCCATTTCTTTATCCACATACCAAACATGCATGAAACTTACCAGAAAAAGTACCGAATTCTGCCAATTTTGCTGCCGGAATTATCCGCCAAGGCCTACCCCGAGTGCACAAATTAGATTTTTGATGATTTGTAGCAATCGTGAGTAATAACTGTGCGGTAACCATGCTTTATTACTATAGTAAGGAGCATGGGAAAGAGATTTTTGTCTCCGGAACACTTGTTGAATGTAATTGTTGATTGATGATTAAAATGTATTCTAAACTCGGGTAGTGAGCCAATATCATAAATAGAAAGAGAAAGGAAATATAAGTTACTACTATCATGAGTCCATAAACAAGAGTGTGCAACGCCACATAGATGTCTGTCACGACTCGTTTTCAACATTACGGTATTTTCATCAGCTGCGCGTGCAGGCCGCGACATTCGCTACATGAAAAATGTACATGAGAATGACGTAATGTTGAAAACGAGTCGTGACAAGACCCTATCGCGCGTTGCACACTCTTGTTTATGGACTCTTGCTACTAGTGCTACACTGTACTAGTAGTACCTCCTCCCATACGTTTTACAACCTTTTCTAGCTGGCCTGCATGCACTCTCGTACTCACCTTTTGTCTCCTTTTGTTCCGTTGGCCTGGGTAGCTACTTGCGTAACCATAATTGCCATAGCTACCCAGGCCCTTTATCTTGCCGTTCACACTTGATCTCTACCTCTTGTCTCTCTTCCCCGAATCTTGAGACTTGAACTTCGAACCTCGTCGTCTGACTGCCTGCGTGCATGTCCTTACAGTTATGACAAACAGTCCACCAAGGTTATGGGATTTTATACAGTCAGATGCTGCGTAACGCATCCCTTCCCCTCATTGGAACTTTCCTCACCTGAGCCTTCCAAGTTGAAAGGCTGTTGGTTTGTCCTTCATAGATGTGTTTGAGCTAGGTGTCAGGTCATCTAATGTCTCAATATCCTTGTCGGTTCTGTGCCTTGTTGTCGTACTATCTGACTGTATAAAATCTCGTTACCTTGGAGAACTGTTAGTCATAACTAGTAACTTATTGCTCCTTTCTCATTTTAAATGTATTATCTTTTTTTTTTTAAGGAAGCAGGCATAATGGGGTGGTCTAAGACCATGGTTGAGAAACAGAGGGACCTGGTTCAAGTCCTGTTTGGAGGCGGAAGGATTTGTACAGTCATGCTGCGACCCACAGTTAATTGGGAACTCGTGGCCTGGCACGAGAGAAACATGGATGCAGTGAATGGGATTTGGTATTTGACTAATTTGTGGTGGGTCTAATCTACACACCTCCCACCGCTTAGGAGCTGCAACTGCGCCTTGATCCTAGAGGGTGGTAGAGTTCCTACGGATGCGGAACACTCCGCTTCTAACCGAGTCTCACGCGAACCGTGAACTTTTTCAATTTTTGTATTCTCTCTTTCTTTCTCGTTTTGTGCGCTACAATCCTCGTTCTGCACTACTGAAGTACACTTATGCATTACGAGAGTTAGGAAATGCTTACAGCGAAACACGTCCCTCTTATTGCTGTCTCCGAAACGATTATTCCTTCTATTCTATCTACCAAACATCCGCTTTTTATGCATTCTAACTTTCCAAGAGACTAATGTTATAGGTATTGGAAACACCCGTGTTGCTGCAGGCACCTCAACTACATGCTTGAACATCAATGAATGTCAATCCATCCCCTGTGACGCCAATACAATGTGTGTCGACACGAATGGGAGTTACGTGTGTGTCTGCAATCCTGGATACTATAACAAATTAGCAGGTAACTTCAAAATATGAAATGGGCACGCGAAAATTCTAAAACACGTTGTTCTCAAGAAATCTGTTACTAGAAATGTGCTGCTTTCTCCTTTTCTTGATAACAGATTTTGTGCATCTGGCCTTGGTGTTTGCTGAAAAATCTCTTAATTTCATCAAGCAGGTGGTTTTCCAATTAGGAGAATGCTATCCTGTTGATCTGTCAAGATTAGGAAATAATTATAATTATTTTGAGAAGAACGTGGATTTCGACGAGGCGTGCCTGGTATGTTCAGGAGGTCGCGCTTGTCGCTCACATGTACCCCCGTCTTGTGTTTCATATAGCTGTGACTTTTCATTTTTTTCATTACTAAGACTTTATTTGAAGGATTCTCCAAAAGTAAATGGATACTTATCCGGGGAGTGTCCTGGAATGGCGGATGAGATGAAAGAGAAGTGAAATCGGATAAGGAAAAATACTTAGCAGAAACACTGCTCAAGGAAAACTACAGGTGAAACCCACCAGGGAGGAACAGAATACATGACGAGCGCTATATACGAAAAGCAGAAATTCCAGCGTTGGAGAATTTATAATTTATACTTTAAATAATGGTCCTTTAGGAGAAACCGAGACTTACCAGAAGATCGCTCCCTGCATAGGCTCTCAGGGAGCTTGTTCCAGACAAGTAATAAACCGAAAAGAGGAGATTAAAAGAAATGAGTTCCAGAACGAGGAAAAACGACAGAGGAAGGGTGTCGGCAGCTGCGGGAGATGGTGAAGCTAAACTGGCTCAGTAGTGATGGAAATTGATAGAATACATGATGTAAGAGAGCATGTCTGAGAAAACCAGAAAAGCTGGGCTGGGCCATCTCTCCGATTTCGCTCAAATTTTGCAAGTAGGTTTCCTTTGGGCCCAAATTGAGGTCTACAACAACCATGCAAGAGGGCTCGTTGCATAACTTACGAACACCTTGGAACTGAGGACTACCTCCAAATAGCCCCAAAATTATAATTATTATTATATTATTATTATATGCATGTTCGCGTTGATGTCAACAATGTTCACATCTTCGCATATGCCAGAACCAAACGATCAGCTGTATGATACTGTAGAAGCAAGAATGCATTTTAACGGTACAACACGACGGACAATATACTTTACTAAGGTGATTGCCAGCATGGTCGGTGACTACCGAAACCTATGCGGGGAAATAATAGTCATGATGGAGTGGTAGATGCCAGCATACTGTGGCCTTCCTCAATATAGAGCACGGCAAAAGTCTCTCCACTCCTCGCGACTAGCTGCGGTAGATCGAAGGCTGTCTAGGTCCGCTGCTGTCTTTAATTTGCCCATGTTCTTCTTCTCCAAGTCCTTGGACAGGGTTGTGACCAACGTTGTTCTTGGTCGCCCTCGGAACGACCCTTCTCGACATACAAAGTATGCCTTCATTCAGCCCCAAAATACGACTCAATTATTGGGTCCAAAAACGAGCGCTGGTACAGCGTACATGATTGAGCTGAGAACAAACCACCACCATACCAACATTACGTCACCTGAGTAGTCTTCATATCAACACCACCTAGAGCCATGGCTACATCCAGGAAAGAAATGGCCATCATCTCCAAATATCACTAATTTCCATCGCTAAAATAGCCAAATTTCAAGGGCCATAGCGGGAACCAGTTACGGCGTCTATATTTCTGAACCATGCACTGCAGGACAGTGGACTATCTCCACTACGACCCAGGACATGTCTCGTAAAAGTGTTTCACGTTTTCTGGAAATAAACAAATTTCAATATTTTCACTTCACCACATTGCAACATTGCCAATTTCCTGCCCGATGACGGAAAGCGCCTCCTCAAGCTCCAACACCAGGCACCGCTCCAGACGCCAGCACGCCAAACCTCAGTGTCATCCATTTTGAAGGGGGTGGGCAGGGAGTCACAGCATTTTTCTGCAAGGACACATGAACGCACTTGCTGGTGTTCATGGCATTGGTTCTTGACCATTTCAGGCACTGGTCAATATCAGCCTGAAAGTTGGCACGGTGAGCGGGCACTGACATTCTAGGCGGGGGAACAAGGATTAAATTGGAATCGTCAGCAAAATGAGAGAGAGTACTGGATACAGGGGTATCGGGAAAGGGGTTACTGCATAGATTAAAGAGAAGAGGGCCGAGATTAGACCCTTGGGGCACTCCAGCTGTGATGGGTAACAGATCTGAGATCGTCTTTGTCGATATCGGACACAGATATTAAGGTCACTGATGAAGTCTTTAATACAACCTCGAGCGTTTGACGAGCGTAATAAATATCTGTGTCCGAGTTGGGCAAAGTCGATCTGATCTGTTGCCCGTCACAGCTGGAATGCCCCAGGGATCTCATCTCGGCCCCTCGGAACCAATATAAAACTATCTTGTTTTACGCCTGCTGATTGGGCCTTTTTCACATGCAAGTTGTAAGCTCAACGGCATGACCACGGTAGTTATAATTATAATGGATTCTTTTGAAGGCGTCAAGCCAGTGCGGCTTGGAGTCACGGTTTGTAACAGAGCAAGTTGTCTTGTCATAGTCGTGAGCTGTTCCTTTGGGAGGTTGGGTGTGTTCCTAGGCAGACGCACGCTCCTTCAGAACACGGTACTTGAGTGGAAACAATTATAATGACGGTGTCCCTGGCATCTCATGTACACCTTCCTAACTCTCCAACACTATTTTGTTTTGTTCTGAACAGGGGAACCATGCGGTAACATCAATGAATGTGCAGTCGCCGGAGTTCACACATGCCATGGCAACGCTACGTGTGTGGATACTGATGGTTCTTATACGTGTACATGTCAGGAAGGCTTCACTGGCTCGGGAGTACTGTGTTCCCGTGAGTTCTTCAACATAATTCATACAACGCAATGGATGGACGTTAGTTAGATCGCCGCTTTTTTGAGCAGCTCGTAATCGAACTCTGTGAAATATGTGGTCCATGTACCGCCGCATTCTGTATAAAGATGGAGATTTGCCAGTCGAAAAACTTTCCATTTCTTGTAAGGGCTCAAAATGCGCGTGGTTCACAATTTTTTCGGCCTCTCTTTTTTAGATCATTTTGGTCTTTGGTCCTGTGTGGTGGAGCTTTCATACTTTTCATAGCACTATCTGAAATGTGTCTCCAACTAGGTTATGACTCATATGATTTTGGTGGGAATTTCAGACCCGGTCGACCTGAATACATCATGTACAATGTGCACATCTATTAATTAAAAACATTTGATGTACTACTGCTACTATGCTACACCACAACTCACTGTGTGGAGCATCGCTGCCCTCAATACAAGCGAAGGTCCCTGGTTCGAGTCGTGGTGGCGACAGTTTTCTTCAGACCTTTCCCGGTTGCATCTTTCCCTCAAACCAATGAAGACTGTTTGAAGGACAGAGAAAATAGCCAACGTGTTGTTTCTGTAACTCCGAGTTTCACGCAAAATAACGATCGTCAGACAGCATGAAACTCAGAGTCATGGCAACACCACGTTGGTTATTTTCTCACTACGTGTGTAAGACGCATAGGCCTCGACCAAATATGCTAAAAAAAAGAGTATATTATGCTCGTCGCATATCAGGGAAAACGTCCATAATATAATATGCCAAAGGCTTAGCAAGATATGGAAAAAGATATGCTAAAATATGCCAAAATATGCTCGACATAAGCAGAAAGTTTAGATCATTTCAGTAAAAGTGCAACCTTGGAATATTCATTGGCTTCACGGCTATCATGCTTATGCCATGTATGGTCTGTACACAACTATTGTACAGGTTGGTTGCGGGTATTCCTTGACCTATATCTTCAGTTTTACTGCTCCGAATTGCTTCAAATTTTCTGTATAGCTTCCTCTGACCCTGGTCTTTCACATTGCACAACAAAATTCTGTGAAAACCCAAGTTGTAAAATCACCTGAAATCCCTACTTATGGTGCAAATCAAAACACATGCGGAATAGTATGGCAGGGGTGTGTCCCTATGCATATGCTTGACCCTTGCTTACATGTCAGTGCCATTCCAACTTCATCCGTAAAAGGCATTTCTGAACGCATTTTGTCCATAATATGAATGTTTTGTCCTCATTTTCTTCAGAATATTTGAATTATATGCTGGCTTCATTCCAATATTCCCTTTGTCGCTCAATGTGCCATATATGAACTGTCTCACAAAATATGCGGAAATATGCGCAAGCATATTTGGTCGAGGCCTAAAGACGCAGCACATACATGTAAATGTACATGGTAGATGTATGGAGACTTCCTGGAGCTGCCGCATCTCTCCCTGAGTGCTGTGTCTATACATAACAGTATGTACACAGCCTGCCCAATCTGCATCGAGGAAGGCCTATTCATTCAGACGATAATAATAACTATGGACGCATGTGTTACATAGTGACACTATAGTATTATCTCTATACTTATGAAGTTTATCCACCGTCCGTAGAGGGCTCAATTAAATTGCCGAAAGCAAAGAGCGGAATACACATACAAAAGAACGAGCAGTTGTTTTCGTAACTCTGATTTTCACGAACTGACTCGATCACCAGACGAAAATAGATACTGACCCTGCCCTGAGAGTTACATGTATCATCATCACAAGCCCATAGCCCTAAGGCCGTCGGGGCGTCACAGAGCAAGTATGAACAAGCGAGCGCCATAAAAATCGATCGCGTGCAGCAGCAAGCAGGGATTGCACGTCAAGTGCAGTCCACGAAAAAATATTATCAAGCCATGCATGACATTCTGGGCCTACCTCGGCCACGACCTCCAGCAACACAACCTTCAAGAACAGTCAATGATAAACAGCCGGAACGAACAATATGACCAAAAAATGCAATTTCCTTGTTTGTGGATACTATTTATTTCCTCGCTAACAGACACATTCGTCCGGTGATCAGCGAACGGAATCCTGAGAAGGCGTCGATAGCTTCTCATTTCGAAAGCCTCGATCTTTTTCACAATTTCAGCAGTTAAGGTCCAAGACTGGCAAGCATAAAGGAATATGGATAAAACAATAGCATTGAGAGTTATGCTACATATATATACAGCTGTACCATGAATGTGGCAAGCCCAGCGTAACAAATATCATGGAATATGTAGTACGATATGGAGTGTGTGAGAACGTGTTAGTTATCTGTGCATTGCTACGCAACATATTCTCGTGGAATCAGGCAACAAAGCTGGCAATTGATGGTACTTCCCACAGCTGTAGTATTATCTCCGCCACAAAGACACATCGCATAGACTGCCACCCAGGGACGAGGCTAAGCAGCCTGGTTACAATGTAGATGAGTTTGACACCCCAAGAGCTGGGAGCGGAAAAGAGACAATTGTGAAAAGTGAGTTAGTGCACCAGCAGCATAAAAGACCTAATGAGCAAGCGAGAACAAAAAAGGAAGCAACGCATGCAAAAATGTGTGAACTCATAACCTCTGCTGCACTCCCTCTTAGTGGATGGGAGTGCAGACTCCCCCCCCCCCCCCCTCCCCTCTCCTTCTCATTTAGAGCTTTGAATATGTTTCACTTTTCACTTAACGATACCTAAAATTGAATATAAGTAGTGATTGAAAGGAATGAAACAGTGCCCGCGGTGCTTTTAACACTACGTCGAATGGTCTTGTTCCGCAGAAGCTACGACAACCAGTTCCAATATCGACCGAGCCCTGAACATTAGCAATTTGGTACACAAATATTATGTACATGTGATTATACTGTTGGACTACCCGGCTACACGACGCGATATCATCGCTGGGTAGATTGCCCGCTTGCTTTCGATTGCGAGTATCTGACGAGCCATGGACCGCAGCCACCTTCGACAATGACCACTGGACTCCCTCCCACCCCCCCCCCCCCCCCCCACCCCCTTCCCCTCACTCAGAGCTTTGAATGTTTTCACTTTTCACTTTACGATACGTAAAATTGAATACCAGTAGTGATACATGTATCCTCATTTTCTATGCTTTGCCACAGCTGTTTCATTCGCTGCGCCGGAGGCTTTCAGGCTAAGTCTCGTGTCAGCAGGACTCTTGGCAGTCCTAGCAGTGCTGGTCCTAATTGCGACTGTCCTATTGGTACTCCTACACCGTGCAAGGAACCCCAGACACATTACTCTACCGATGGTGTCTCAACAACATGAGATTGACGGACTAGGAACCACCCACGATCGCTACCAGCAACCACAAATAGCTATTGGTGGATTGAAACAACCTGAAGCATCAGCAACGTTATTTTCTCCAGGGCCTGGCGCAGCGGAGAACAAACTGATAGATGGAAGCTTGATAACAGTTAATGCAGGTACTGAAGCATCAGATGACAACGGTGACTATGAACTACTTGACATGGCCCGTCGCCTTCCGCCACCACCGAAGGAGGACGTCGTGTATGAGGCTGGGGGTGATATGGTGCACAATGAAGGCAATTGCGATGAAGCGCTTCGAGACAAGCACCTAACTGAAGCAGCAGAATCTCGTCTTACCAGCAGTGAAGCTTATGGCTTAGCCAAGGAGGAGGACAACGTCTATGTCATGCCAGGAGCCAGCTTTAAACCGCCCCCAGGACATGAGGATATCTACTTGAACATGGCCTAATCGAAAACAGTGTTCTTGCGTAACTTTTACTCCACAAAAAGGTTGCCATTTTCGCAATTTCGCACTTTCCGGCCATTCTGGATTTTAATCTCACTGCAATACACTGTGCTGTTAGTCACATGATATGTTTTCCCTCAGAACAGTGGATCACCAGCAAAACCAATGAACAATATTCTTTTTCCGAAGTCTTTAATGTAGCAAGTCGTTAAACGCAGCATATCAGTTTTTAATGTCCAAGATAAGCCAGCCACAGTTGGTATATTTGAAGCAATGGCTTTTCCTCCATACCCTCCCCAAGTTATGTTGTTGTTCAATGTTTAGCACACCGGATTGAACATGTTCTTTCAAATCATTTGCCTTCTAATATCGGAAACAGAATCACACCTCATGTTTAAATAATTCCCTCGAAAACAATAATCCATTTTGTAAGGCTCCGATTGGCACATTAACGAGCCGGCGATACTATTGCCACCTCGACGTTACTATCCAAATCCTGACATTTAAAAGCCTTTATCGCCATTTTGGCTTGGTATGTGCATGCTTCCTATCTTTTGTACACGTTACCATTATTTCTTACCAAATACAGTACGTATTAGTTCGCAAGTATCCACGTAAACACACACCGCCTTCATCTTCACACTTTTGAGGTGCTCATGTGCTTTGAGATGTACATGTACATGTATTATCCAAAGTTCAAAATGGCCTGTCAATCATGAGCATGAACTAATGAACATCCTGCATGTGTGTGTATTTACATGTACATTATGTACATGTATATTGAGTTGTTTTTCACGACAATTTTTTGCTTATACGTGTGTACTTACATTGTATAGTCTCCAAATCTAATTTTCTACTTGTATTCCCCAAGTCTACATGATTGTACATGTGTATTCTTTCCAAAAGGTCTTCCATAGCACTCACAAGCCTCAGTATCAACTCTGTACATAATCATGTACTTCGAAGTCCATGACATGTGAAATATCAAAATATTTAAACTAAACTTTGATTATGTATTTTTTACTGAAGTAGATGTACAGTGTACATGTACATGTACATGTACATGTACACTGTACATGTACACTGTACATGTACATGTACATGTACATGTACAATACGAGCCACTAGGTTCATGTTCTGGGCTTCCACTACGCAAAAATCACACAGTTAGCCCTTGGCGGATTATGCCGGCATAATATTTGGCATAATCTTGGGATTTCGTCAAAACATTATGCTCCGGCATAATATACGGATTCCAACGTGTAAGGTCGGCATAATCTTTCGGTTTAGACAAAAATTATGCTTAGGGCATTGCCGTGTGTGTATGCGTGGTTTCTCAATCCTCTATGTACAGCGTGAATACATAGTGGAACCGAGGATAATTCAGCATAATTATTTGTTGGCATAATTGTGGCATGATCAAAAGCATAATTTGACGATTGGCCGAGCATAGCCCGCCAATGGCTACACACAGTTATAATCATTATGATATTCCACCATGTCATGAACATGTACATGTACCAGCTTTTGATTTCTAGGATACCCCTGCTGTGTAGTCAATATTATTATTTCAGAAGGATGCACTATTGGTGTTGAGAGTGCTACTCGGAATACCTGGGCGGCTCATTGCTGCAAAGAAAATGAACAGGGCAGAAGGACTAGCTTGTTGCATCTGGGAATTTTATGCTCAGAGTTTGAAACAAAATAGCTGAGCTGAAGCTAAAGGATTTGATGGAGTCCTGCCAGCAGCTAGTCAAAGGACCTTCGGTACCTTAGGCAAACCCTGACGGAGTTTGGAGGCCAGCTAGCTCTCGGTGAAGAGAGAAACATTCGCGTGGCGATCGACTCTCCGTAAAAAATGCAAGCTACATAGCGCCGACATACTGCAACAGCTACGATTTCAGCTAACTAACTTCTCGATCTGCTGCTTCACAAAGTTCAACTATTTACAAGTCCTGACTGTTGTAGTCTGAAGCTGGAGTCTCATCGCCCACCTACAGGTAGCTTTTGGAGCTGATGGATTTCCCGACTTGGACTCCTTCCGCAAACTCTCGCCACATGACTACAGCGTATGCTGTGTTTCCGCACGCTCGTGTCGACGTGTCACCTATACTGTACATGTACCGGGTCGCGGAGGAGCTTGACGACCTCCGCTGACTCCAGGTTTCCGAAATACTGCCGTCGTCTTCGTTGATGTCGCTGGTGACATTCTCCCCTTGCAGGACGTGCGCATAGTTGTCGTCCCGGGGGTAAAGACTATGTTGTCTTTCGAAATAGTTCTTCATCACGCTCGCGCGAATGATGTTTCTCATCATGAACTCGTTCCGACGGTGTGATACGGCGATGGTCTTTTGCGGGGCACTGGCTTGGCGAAAACGCTATCTTCTTGTGCAATATAACATTGATCGGCTGCAGATGAGTACAGTCACTTCGTGGTTGGTCCTATAGGAGGGCAGCTGCCAGGAAAGAGGCAGGACTCATCGAAGACGAAGCGCTCGCAACAAACAATAGCACTCGAAATATCTCGTAAGATTTAGGGCCTATAGCTTTGAGCCACAGCGCTCACAGCCTTGCCTACTTCATCAAAGTGAGCTCTACATGTTCGTTGACCTCTTCACACTACACAGAAGAGCGAAACAAGGATAATGTCTTAGCATTTCAACTCCAACAGCAGACAGTGCGAGAGAGAGAAAACTACAAAGGGCTTTGCTTTCTGTCGCATCGTCTCTCTTGCATGCAACTAACGAGAAAACCGTGTACTTACCCTCGCATTCACACGCGAACTATCAAACACGTCCTGTGACGCATGTTGATCAGGTAGTGTCATGTATGTGTTGTACAGTGTACTCTCAGTTGACATGCCCCCTTTTGACCCCAGACAATCCTTTCGGGATTGGTCTATTGTGTGTCCAGGAACCGGACAAGCCGTGCAACTGCCGTCGCAAGGACCAGTGCCCTCTCAACGGAGCGTGCCAAGCAACCAGCATAGTCTACGCGACGGAGGTGTCGAGTGATGGCCACAGCGATGGGCCCAAGACCTACATTGGCAGCCCGGAGCCTCCATTCAAGCTTCGATACGGGAATCACAAGACATCCATCAAGCTTCCTGGATACCGCAAATCCACGGGCCTCTCAAAACATGTGTGGGAATTGAAAGATAATGGCAAGACGCACGACATCAAGTAATCCCGTCTATGGTGCGCTGGATAGCGCTAACGCCGAGACCCTAGGTCGGCGTTGCTAGTCCCGCCTCACCGGCAGAGGCTCCCTGAGAGCCCCTACTAGTGTAATGGTTCTCCCTCTGGTTCTCTAAAGTGTCAGGAACGAACGACCCCACACGGCACGAGGACAACTATTTATTCTCAACAGTATATTTCACTTCCATCTTCTAACAACAATGAACAATGAATGAACAACTGAACAACTAACACTAAACTTGTGACCACCAGGTAGTTATAGCGTGAACATGACAGCGTATATGAGAAAAGCATACACATACAACATACAACTACAGCGCACACAGCAAACCGCACATAGCGCATGTAGCGTATACTACGTCGTAAACATCAGCGGTACGGCGGAGTCGGGATACAGCTGCATTGGAACGAACACAATGTCATAAGCGAGAAGGCCTTTCACTCTCGAGAACTTGTGGTTTCACAACATTCTCCCCACCAAAGGGCTTCTCACCGCCGTACAAC